CTATAAAAATTTAAATGTTTGGTGGTAGAAGGTTGAATAATTGCTAAAGTGTTTATTGCTTCGAGTTTTCAGATTCGAAATTCCTATTCTATCTCCAACGAGGAACCAGAAATAATGGGCACTAAGCATCTCTTTTTTTTGAAAAATTAATAAAATTCAATAAAATTAATAAAATTTCTAAAAGTTATGAAGTTTAAGAAATTTAGCTTAATAAAAAAAAATCAAATTCAAATATTCTTTGAAACAGAATTATAGGAATGTAACAGAATTATAGGCTGAGTTATTTTATTGTATAAGTTTAGCTACTGCTTTGGATAAATCTTTATTAAAGCAAGCACATCTCTTTTCTTATTCTAATGGTCTTAAATACCAATTATATAAGTTGACGATTGATTTTGACAAGAAGAATTTTCATGTTAAAACCATTCACATAGATTCGAGAAAATATTCCTCATTGGTTGATTTGGCTTAGAATAAACTCTCAAAATTTTTAGAAATTGGAATGTTATTAACATTAACACTTTGTCTAAATAGAATAGTTAAGTGGATTTTCAGTAAACTCTCTCTTTCTTATCCCTAAATATGATTAGTTTTTCAGTAAGCATTCTATCCATGATCGCATCCATCTTCATTCAAATACCATCGCATTAAGAATATCATTACCGAGCGTCGCCTTCGCTGGTTGGGGCACATTCTTCGACCCCCACCACAAGAGTTGACACATATTTCGTTACTTGCTAAAACATATAATGAGTGGCATCATAAATGAGGTGGACCGATCTGGACTGACACGAAAGGTTTTGAACGTATGGGTGGACCAGCAATATATGGACTTAAGAAGGAATGGCTTCTATTACTATCGACAATGGTGTAAAAAAATAGATTATTTTTTGCAACGGGTAATGCTTGCCTGCCATATTTTCATATTTTAGAGATCTGATCTGGACAATAGTTGAGATTATACTGATCACCGCACGTATTAATAAAATCTTTATTCGCCAGCTCAAATTTGAGTAATTAAACTTGTTTAATGTATGGACAGAAAAAAATAAACTTCGATTAATTCAAAGAGATTAAAGGGCAAAAGAAAAAAAAGGGATGAGGAATAAATTAACAAAATAAAAGGAATAAAATGAATATTTGAATATTAATAGTAATATTGGTACCCAATTGCTTGGGTCCTTGATGCCGCCTAAAAGAAGAACAATTTTTATAAGAAGAGTATACAACATATACTGTAAATTTTGTCCTTTATTTTTATTTGACATATAAAATGCAATAAACAAAGAATCGATTAAGTTATGAAAGTTTTCTTTGACAGGTCATCGGTTTGAAATAATAATTGAAATTTTAGAGAAGTCATAAAATTTCGCGAGAAATGGCACCGCGCCGCTTGAAGTCGTCTTACCCTTGTAGCCAATGGAACCAGCCTAACCAATATTGATGAGAGTTGTTAGAAACCTTCTATCCCTCATCCTATATTCAGCATCAAAATTTGCTTGGCTAAGTAAAAATCATGAAAGAATTTCAGAAATGTTTTTTTTTTTAAAGTTTGCACCTCATTATTTCTATTTTCCTCTTTTAAGACCTTTTGTTAAAAGTAAAAAAAGCTAACTGGTTTTGAATGAAGTTGTATTTATTAATTATTTAATCCTTTCATTGAGAGTAGCAAAAAAATCTCTAATGAACTTTGCTTTTTGTTGTTTCTCGTTAAGAACATTCTACTAGCTGTAATTTTTATGAGAAAGGGAATAGAAATAGAGAAATAAAGAGTGTCCAACACCACATGGATTTCAAATCGCAGGTACCCTTGCTAAGGCTAAATTAAGGTGTATGAGAAGATCTGAGCAGCAACTACTCGGCTAATATGTTCATATAAATCATGTCGACCTACGTTGATTATGTTTTAATTTTTTAAATTGTGCTTTTCATTGATAATAATGGTTGGAAGTGATATATAGTGATAGTTACTGGCAGTGGTAGTGATTATTCATTTTTATAATTTAGGAATAAGCGAAGTGCAAACAAAATCACATCGTGTTACGGAAAGTGATATATTTAACTTTTGTATTTATCTGTTTATTTTTGGCATTCAGTTCACAAGGTTTCATATTAGAAATATCGAGTGCGAGTGTTGAAGGAATTATCAGTAGCAAATTCGGCTATTATAGGCTTTTTGTTATTCGTAAATCATTTTCAAATTTGCTTATCTTGTCATATTTAGTTTAATATTTAGGTGATTTATCCGTTTCTTCATTTCTAATAGGTTTATTGTCCATAGGAGATTTTGAAAAAATTTTGACGCAAGTGTTATTATTAAAGAGAAAATTGATTATTTTTATCGAAATACCTAAGAAAATAGCATTAATATTTTCGCCAGTCCTTTTGGCAGGTTATATTAAGTAGAGCACTTTGAAAATCAACTGCCAGTCGAAGATATTCGAAAAGATCCTCTGGAATTTAGATTTGGCAAGTGGTAGTGCACCTTTCTTTAAAAAATGCCTCTCTCTCTAGCATTTTACTTAAAAAAAAGAAATTTAGTTTGGCGGTAATAATTGCATTTTTGATTTTGGCAAATTTAATAATTGCGCCAATTGTCCACAGAGTAACAGAAAATTGTCGATGGATGGTTGTGATTGGTTCCTTATCATATACAACATTCCTTATGGGAATGCTTTTTCTAAATTCGCTTTATTTATTTACTTCACCTGCATTGCTTGGAATAAGCTCCACATGTTGGTTTGTATGTTTTTATGCTATTTTATATTTAATATTTAATAAAAATAATAATTTTTTTTGTTAGTTATTTTTTTCGCCACTTTAACATTCTAACAGTGTGATAGAATTAGCATGGCAATGGATATGATAAGTCATATGACATTTTACATATCTATCATCTATCTTATTTACAAAATTGAATTTTCGTGCCAACTATCATTTATTTTTAATAAAATCGTCATCCTTTGTTTTTAAATTCTCTTCCAAATTACTAGCATTTTTTCCACTGATAAATATCATTTACATTTCAGTATCATTTCAGTATAATACTTAGACAGGTTAAGGAAAGTATTTGCTTTGAATTCTACAAATCAAAACGCCACTCGTAATATCGGAATTTCAAACTTCATACATCTTTATTTTTAAAAATATTTTCAAAATTTTTCAAAAAAATAATTTTTTTTGAAAAATAATTTAAAATTTACATAAAAAAAGCAGAACAAATAAATGTTAAATTCATTTAACATATCAAATGAAGGTTAAATCTGGAAAAATTATATTAAAAAATAAATTGTGAGTGGTTTGCAAAATTTCCATCTAAACAATTTTTTGCAGCTTTTACGGTACTTTGCTCGTTAATAATTATTTTGCATTTCTCAAAAAATGAAGATTATTAAATTAATTTGTGACAAAATGATTTAGCAGATTAAAATTTAAGAGTTTCGAGATTCAATCTTGTGACTAAATAAAATAAAATTTTTATTTTCTTCACAGTTTTCTACTTTTTGATAAAGAATTTTAAATTTTACTATTGAAAGTATTCATTTCGATTTGAATTCTTAGATGCAATTAACTTTATTTGTCGTAATGCCGGGACAGTCGAATAGTGATTGCTCAGATTTTCGTCTCCAGCATTAAGATTCGACGTCACGGTGAGCTATAGACCTATCCGTCCGGATGGAGCTCGAGGTCCATCTGTAATTTTATCTCCAACAGACTTCTTGACGAATATTTTCTATCGTATAATACCCAGTGAAATAAGCTTTTAACAACTTATATTATATTATAATTTATTATTAAATTAATTTATTAATCTGATAATAGCAATAAAAAATTTTAGGCTACATTTGCAAATGCTTCATTTTTTTGTTCGGCAAAAAAATTTACAGTGGATTTTAACGATATTATTATTCGTCTGGTTACTAACAACATTATCATTTCGTACTGTCGAACTAAGAATAAAGCATAGTGTCTGCATAAATAATGAAAAATTTACTAAAAGAAATAAAATAGAAAATAAAGAAATTGACTGATTGATAGATTATAATTATTTTCAAATTGATGATAAAAACATTTGAAAAAACAAAATATAAAAGTATATGTGAAGACTGAAAAATCCCAGAATATTTTTCATAAATAAATAAAGTGAAATATTTTCCAAAAAAAATTGGTTACAATAAATGTTACAAAAAATGCATTTTTTATTTTTACATATTTACATATTTTTAAATATTTTTTCACTGTGTTTTTCATAATTTGTTTTTGAATTTGCCTTTGATGAATTTGAATATTATTCACTATTTGAATATTTGAACACCTTTTTTAAAAGAAATATTCATTATTTTCAATTAGATTTATTCATTAAATAAATCTATTTATTATCTTTTATTATCATTTGATTTATTTAGATTTGATTATTTATTAAATACCAAATCAAATTGAATGATTACTGAAAGATCTTTTTGAAGAAAAAAGAATGCAAATTTATCCAATTAAATCAAATAAAGAAGTGCTGAAAGAGAACCTAAAAAAAATTTTTACCGTCCTTTTAATATGACGATGATCACCCCTCCCTTCCTCCTTTAACAACTCGAGTTATTGCTAGTTCGGTACTAATGACTAAGTTAAGACGTTCCCAAGCTTACCGACTTAACGATGAGCATGGAAACAATAGCAGTCACTCCTTCTCGCACTGCCTACGCCCATGCATCGTTAGGCCACCTACGTGTCCAAAGTATCCCGTACCATTCAAGGATTAGTGAATGGCGAGATATGCTTATAAGCAGCGCAGAAGATGCTTAGCTCATTAATGCAGCTGGCATTCGAGCAAAGCCGGATGCAGCCATGTGGGACGGATGTCCCTTTGGCGAATGAAATGAACTGTCCAATGCAACTTCCTCGGATTCGTCCCTTGAAACTTTGACAATTCTTGGCTAAATGAACGCGACAACGCTACAAGAATGCGCCAGTGTTCAGCAGTTCCTTCAAGTCTTGCAATAAAAATGGAAATCCCACCACTACTACACGAACTCTCCAAACAAAAATACATGCCAAAAGTCAAAGCCGAACTGCAAAATATACAGAATCTGCTAAATCAGCTGAAGCTGTTCAAGCAGTTCTAATTTGCGGATGAAATGCTAAAGTACGGTGTTATAAATGTTGTAATTGTTGATGCTTTCTTATTATTCGTCGATTTTAAAATTTTTCTATCGATTTGCTTTTTTCAAATAACTTTCCAAGTAAAAATTCTTCTTAAACTGAAAATAAGTTTCCGTTAAATCTTAAAACTGAGAAATTAACAGCCTTTTGTTTTTAAATTAAGCATTTTTTATATCTTTTGATTTCGTCTTTTTTCAGCGAATGCCAAATGCAAAATTTGGAAGTGTCGATAAGTAATTCAAATAACGGAGATTTGCGTCGTAAAGGCGACAGTCGACCCACGAATAGCGCAGAAACGTTCGTTTTTCGAATATCGCTGTGCTCTAAATTTGAATTTTCACTTCGCGGCCGAGGGGATTCTTTTCTTTCGCTTCTTTACTCAGCTTTGCTTCGCTCCCCCCACTCAACAATCCGCAATCCCTATTTCAATTATAAATCTTAGCAAATCTCTCATTTCTTCCGTCCTCCGTTAAATATTTTTTATTAACGTTCAGAATCATCTGTTATGCACCCACTATTCTTTATTATTTGCTTATTATTATCGTTATTTTGTGTCGCGTCCCTCCCTTTACGTAGCAAATCGTTTTTAGTTTAACAGCGTGCGAACTTCCATGGGGCTCACTTAAACTCGTCCCCACTGGAAATATTGATTTTTCTATTTCTCCGGACTGTTTTGCGATAAAATCGAATTTGCAAGAAATATTTGGTATTTTCGAACGAAAACTTAACATTTTTTGTGGCGATGACAACCAGGTTCTTTTTTAATGATTTTTGAAACATTCGTTCAGATTATTATGTTAAAATTGTGGTAGAATTATTTTCTAAACCATAAGCAATATAATTTAAAAAATGGCGAAAAAATTTATGTTCAGATTTCTATGAATTCAGTGAATTTACTAGTTTCTGGCATTACAGTCTTTAAATTTTAGGATAAATATTTAAACAAATTTTTCGTTCTAAGTGAGGATGTTTATTTGGAAAATTTATTAAAAGTATTGAATGCTTTATGTGAGCATTGTTTACCAGCTGTGCTGTCCACCGTAATATATTGGTATGAGAAACAGCTACAATGTCATTTTGAAGAATTATTGTTAGTTTTACTAAATTTTTTTTAGGATTGTTTTTAGGACTTTTAAATTATTTTTTGTCCTAATTTTGTTAAAATTGGTTTTGCTAATGGTTTTGAATGGCGCACTATTTTAAATCTTGATTTATCTTGAGCAAAATTTAGCAAATTTCTAATCAGAGTACCCACATCCCACCCACATCCGAATATTTTCCAGTTGAATCATTGAAACATTTAGCAAAAATTTCTCGAAATTATATATCGATTGCAGTCATTTCAATCCACCTTTCGCTAATGCCTGATTTACTAAAGCCAGAATGCGATTTATAAGTACATGTTATTATACCTTTATATGTTATTATACTTTTTAAATTTTATTTGTAATTTGATTTGTAGAAATCAAACAGAGCGACGGCAGCTAGGAATTAATTATATATTTTGTTTATTAATGGTCGAAGTATTACCTCAGCTTCATTTTTTTCCTGAATCCTGTGAACAGTCTGTGTCGTATATTATTGCTTTAGCTTTCAAAGAAGTTGCCTATCGTGACCCGTAAGTCTCAAATAGTTTTTTAAAATGAATTTCTTATATTTAAAGTACTGTAAAGCATCACATAATTTATGAAGCGATAAATTATTTTGATTTTTTTAGATTATGTTTGGGTGCAAATTATAATAATTTTTTGGCAGTAGCAGAACGATATGCTGAAGTATTAGGTGTATTATCTCAAACGCATGCCACTATCATACAAAAAGTATTTTTAAGCTCTTTGTCGGAGCTTAAAAAGGAAAATCCAGTTACTTCACTGACGATGAATAATATTATTGCTTTACTTATGGCAATGAAATTTTTTCGCATCAAGGTTTTTTTTTTTGCTCTTCCTTAAATGTTTAGTTTTCCTTTTTTTATTATGTTCAATCTTTTCTCAATTGTATCAGACATCTTTATTTTCTATTATTTTCTTTTTTTTAACAATTTTTTTTAAAGACCAATCAGATATCTGATTTCGAAATTGGCATTCGTTTTCTCGATGAACTTGGACAATATTTTTTAGAAACAAAACAAAAAGATATAAAACATGCAATAGCTGGTCTGCTTGTCGAAATATTACTTCCCGTTGCCGCGGTTTGTGTGCTTGTTATTATTTTGTTATTTATATTTTTGAATTTTTGAATTTCAGTTTTTAAATGAAAGATAATGAAAAATAATAGGCAACCTAAAGGCAAAAGCATGTTATATAAATACCATATCTGCAGCGAGAATTAGATTCAAAGTCATTGTAAAAAAACGAAAATATTTTATATATAAGATGCTGATAAAATACCTATTTTTATCAATTCATTGCCGGTTGAGGAAGTGCTTGACTTCAAATACTTGGATCTATTCTAATCCCAAATGACCAGGCAAAGAATGAAATCGTAACGCGGACAGTGACAACTAGAATTATATTTTTCCGGTTAATGAAACCTTTATGGAACCGTAAATCACTGTAAAATCAAAAATCTATATATAACTGCAATTAACGTCCATATAACTGCAATTCGTTCGATCTTGCTATATGGCTGCGAAACATGACCAATGAGAGTGGAAGATATTATGAAGCTATTAGCCTTTGACCACTCATATCTATGGTACATTTTACGGATCCATCGAGCGGATAAAATCCACGTTATTATATCCACCTTCGCTTTAATACCTCCTATCACAGAGCGTCGCCTTCTCTAGTTAGGGCACGTTCTCCGTCGTCCACTACAGGAGTTATATGTCGTTATTTGCCTGTGATGGTTGGCGTCAAAAGCGAGGAGGACCAGTCAAGACCTGGACTGATATAGTCAGGAAATATTTTGAGCGTATAGGGGAATCAGCGATATATGGACTTGACGATGCAAAAAGGAATGGATTCTATTACTACTAATGATGGCGTCGGACCGAGCAGCTTGGAGTCATTTTACTGTTGTAGCCAGTTTTTTAATGAAAAGTTATAGCTAACCTAAAAGCAAAAGCATTGTTATATAAATTTTTTTTTTTTAAAGAGTCTTCACCATTACTGATTAAGTTCGCTCCACTGGCTTGTCGCATTGAGCAATATGCCAGGGAGTCCCTTGGCAATAGAAATACAGGTGAGTCGCCAGTATTACCCGGAATATATGCAGTTTACTCCTGAGGAGAATAGAACCTCAGCGCATCGGCGCTCCTAATTGAGCAAGAACCCACTGAGCCATTCTATTCCCATATATTATATAAATGGTTTTATACCATATCTAATTGTTTTATTTTTTGTAGCAAATCAAAACTGAAGCAAATATTCCAGCGTTGATCGCATTTGTTGATAAGCTTTATGCTCCAACTTTTGAACTAATAAATAAAAAGCGTGACAAAATGGTTTGTTTTATTGAAAAATTAATGATTAATAATATATTTTAAAATAATTCTCTGATACTTCTATTTATTTATTCAATTTTTATTCAATTTTTATGAAGTTACTTTTGTAAAATTGAATGGTAGCCCAAAGAACGAAAATATAAAACGAATGCAAAATTATTATGAAATTATAATGATATGGTTTTTTATCTTTTCCGATAATATCACAGTTTATTAAGGAATATCATTTCAGTTCTTATTTTATTTTAGGCAGCTTATCCTCTTTTAACGTGCCTTCTTTGTATATGCCAAAGTAAATTTTTCTTGGCAAATTGGACGCAGTTTTTGAATTCAATATTAGCGAGTTTGAAAAATAAAGATCCAAAAGTTTCTCGAGTTGCACTTGAGTCGTTGTATCGTTTACTTTGGTATTTCTTAATTTATTAATACTATGCAAATAAAATATTTTAACAGATTCATTATTTCTGTTACTGATTAATGATTAAAGATAGTTTATTCGTTTTCTTAGTACTAAGGAATTTTTTTGATCAGTTAGAAAGGTGTATGGAAAATTTCCAGTAGAAGTTTGCTTTTAAACTTTCTAAGGATGTAAATTTTAGTTTTTTTCATTTCTACATTCATTTATTTAGGGTCTACGTAATACGAAACAATTGTGAAGGTAATACAGCAACGCGAAATCGGCTCGAATCAATATGTAATTCCTTATTTCCGAAAGGTAATCGCGCAGTTGTACCTCGTGATTCTCCACTTAACATTTTTGTTAAAATCATTCATTTTATTGCTCAGCAGAAGCTTGAGTATGCTTTCAAGGTTAGATCGCGTATATTTTTTTAAATCTTTTGAAATCGGTGTGAAATAAGTTTTTGCCATAATTATTTTGAAAGATTTATGAGAATGGATATTTATTCGCCATTTATTCGTTTTTACCCCAATCATAAGGAATTTTTAGGAGATAATATTTGATTTGTTGGGATGTAACCGAGCACATAGTGTTCTGAAGAGCTCGCTGTATCCAGAACGGATGAACATAGGTATACGAGCATTAATGGTTATTGCTAACAGCTTGCAACTAAAAGAAGGACCGCCTGATATGCCACGATCTATGAGTTTGTTTTTTTTTCGGTATTATTTTTGATTATGATTAACTTGACAATTTGGCTGAGGCAAGGTAACTGATAATTGTTCCCTTTTTTATTTTCTTCTTTTTCATTAGTGAAAATATTTTTTGAAAATTTCTCGTTGTGGTTCTTAGATTTAATTTTATATTTTCAGCCAACACAACCACCCAAAGATTGAAGAAAATGTATATTCTTCGACCACTGACTGCTGATATTGCAAGGTCAATAGGTCTTGAACAATATTATGCACCTTGTCGAAAGGCATTCGATTATATTTTAAGAACTCTCGACTCTCAGGCAAGCTTATTTGATTGCTTTTGAATTCTAATATTTTTTTGTTTTTCCTAACTGTTGAATTTTATAGTCATTTATTTTGTGGCTCGTTATAAATCCCATTTAGTGAAAATATGATGAAATACTAAAATGCATTAACAAATATAATTTCTGCTAAAACAAAAATATTTTTCAAAGGTTCCATTGTTTTTAGATTTTAGACCATATCCAATGTCCAATCTTTGGCTTCTCTAGGTTGAATTAACTGAGGATTTCTCTTGAGCCGCATAAATATGTAATATAGCTAAGCATAAAGAGCTAAAAAATTAAAAAAACTTTTTGTTTTTCTATATTTTTTATTGTTTTATTTTAATTTCACTCTTCGTGCACTTCATCCTAGGGCATTGACCCAAATAAGATCTAATTGTAAAGAATCTTAATTTTCAAATACTGCACTTTGAAAAAGTATTATAAGCAAAAACATTTGATGTGTCGCATCTTATCACTTTTTAGCAGCACATATCTTTTTCTCTAGAAAAAAGGTCTTATAAAAGTCCAGTAAAAAGACATGATAAATTTATCTTTGAGTTAAATGTGTGAGTGCGACTATTCCAGCTGAAAAATTGTAGGTATTATATTTATATTGAATGAACATGGAGTTTCAAATATAATAAAATTTTGATGATTTTTTTTCGGAAATCTTGAAAATTATTCTCAGATTTCTATATCAAACGGTGAAGCAAAACTGCATATTTTCGGAAGTTCATATTTCATGTGTTAAGCTTGTGTATCGAGATGAATTATTTGCCATCAGCTTGCGCTTTAAGCTTCACATGGAAAAATCATGCTTGAAACATAGCATTAAATTTGATTTAACCTTGAAAATATTTAATTCATTTAAAGAGGTGATCGATTTCCAAAATTATTAAATCTGTCAGCCAAATGACTTCATTTCGCAAATTATAAAACTTTTCCACATTTTACTCTGAATTAGCCACCTTATTTTGGAAAAATAAATGATATTTCCATAATCAACGTGCAAACATTTGAGGAACTCATTAAATTTGCGATGATTCAGTTTCTTGAATCTCATGATATTCATTTATAAGCTTTAAGGCATATTTTATTGATATACGATGCAGTGGTATTTCATCATATGTTACCTTTGACAGTTGCATCGCTTTCTTTAATTTTATAAGTCCTCCTTTAGCAACCATCGCTTCATCAGTTTTATTAGGTACGTTGACGGTGTTTAAAGAAAATCGCTTTTATGTATATGTTTTAACTTCATATAAATCAAAAAATTTAGTCGTTTTTTAATGGCACCAAAGAAGCCATTTCTTTTATTCCTTATTACCACCTTATAGCATCATTATTTCCATACATGGACCAGAATAAAATTTGAAATTGGCAGCTTTATTTTACTTATTTTAATAGATTTTCCTATTTCATGTCTCAATTTGATTAAAAAAATTGATTTTAGAAATGTCCGTTCGATACATTGTTCAATAGATTCACCATTTGTAAATCGTTTTGTTTTTTTGTTTTGCTACTTTCTGAGATAATAAAGACATTTTCTTACTTCCGACAGGCTTACTACTTTTTCTTTACGAATTATTCCTTGATATACTTCAAATGTTTTTATAATACTTTTTCAAATAGCAATCTTTGACGGTAAAAATTGCTTTTTCTTCTTAGATAAATAAACGGCCATTTAATAAGAAAAAAAATACTTAATAATAATAACAATAAACGCTATAGTCGTATGTAGGTTGAAATAATAGCAAACACAAACTATTGCGGAAAAAGATATTTCTGAAAATGACATGAAAATTTTCGCAGGTTGGGTGCCCGTGCTTTAGATTATTTTTGCCAATGATCATCTGAAATTTTTTGATAGTTTCTTATGAATTTTTGTCTTGTTGATTTGTTTTTTCACTTTTATTTTTGTCAGTTAGGCGGATTTTGATTTTGTCCAAAATGTATATTATTTAAAAAAGTTCATTTTAAATTGAATCATAATTTTCTAAAGAATTTCAGTGTGGGTGAAGGGTCAGCTTTATTTGCTTCGACTGAAATCACTTATCATACTTTCATTTTATTTAATTCCTATTTCCTATTTATTTTTTATATTAATTCCTATTTATTATCTTTGATTATAGGTTGGAAAGCCGTTGATGCTAATTGTTGTGCATCCCCGTGGTAAAGAACCTGATGAACTAATAACGTAAATTACTTTCTCTGTTTGCGATTTTTCGGTCCTCCTTATATTTCATTTTCTCATTTTCATTTCAACAATTTAAAAAATTGTCAGAATTATTATCCTTCATTAACCATTGCTTATATTTTTATTTCTGTGGCGAATATTTTTTTTTTTTTAGTAGTGAAGTTAAACCAAAACTGGATTTATTCCGTACGTGCATCGCAGCGATTCCTCGGTTATTGCCTGAATCAATGAGTCATTCGGTATTTTTGCTCTATTTTTTTGATGCAGTTACTTTAACAATAATAGCAATAAACGACTATTGTTAACTAAATTAACTAAGTTAACTAAATTTTAGATATTAATTTAACTTAAATGGTAAAGCACTGAAATTTCCTGAAAGAACCTTAACTTTTCGATAAATTTTAAGCATTCATGAATTTATAATATAAAAAGTTTTTTCCGAGATCCTCAATTGATTCCTTTCTTTTGTGATTATTACTTTTAGGAATTAGTCGAATTATTAATAAGAATGACCGTTCATATTGATGAAGAATTACGTATTCATGCAGCACAAACATTGCAAACATTGATGAACGAATGTGCTGATTGGAGAGAAGATATTATTCATGCAGACTTAAATTTTTTGTCAAATCAAATTTTGGTTTCTTACATTTTTTTCTTGCTTTTAAATTTTTTGAGGTTTCTTGAATATTTAAGAATATTTTTTGCTTTTAGTCAGAATTTTTTATCTAGATTTTTATTGGTTAAATATCGATCAAATTGATTGAAATATTTATCATTTGCGACTGACAGTATTTAAAGATATATTAAAGTTATGGTAAACTTTCTATAACTTATACATATTATATTATCAAGGATACTTATCCATCATTATTGGATTCATCATTGCGTTTATTGCAACAACTTATGTTCACTTGGAAGACCACAGCACATATAGAAAAAAAACGAGAGATGAATGGTATTAACGAAAAGGAAAATGGTTTTGTTAATTCATTAAGGTAATATCGGCCATCAAGATCAAAATATTTATAGTTCAGACCCATTCCATTTATTTTTACTGTTAAAAAATAATGGTTATGGTGATATTAAATTTTTTTCTTTGGCATATTGTAAATTTTTTTTGTTGTTTGTTTGTTACAAATTTATTTTATTTAAATTTAAATTTTTAGAATGCAAATTTCTCCATTGTTAACCAATTCAGTTGCATTAGCACTTCATTCAGTTGAAGGTTTTGCATTGGCCATGTTATGTCAGTTTAGAACTCAAACTCGAAAAATTGTTATCGGCATTCTGAAAGAGGTTCTTTTTATGATTAGGAAAACTTGAAATCAAAGAAGTTTTTTCTTTCTGATATTTAAGTTAGAAGCGGTTAGCTGGTTTTTTTAAAGTTCTTGCACTTTATCGATAACCGAATAATTGAATATATTTTAGGTTCGCCAGTTGTTGGTTCTTGTCACTCCACACCAGCATGATACATCTGTAATTGAGGTGCTAGATAATGCCACCTCCTATGTATATAATAAATACATCGAACATGTTCCATTATCTGAAAGGGTAGATCTTCAAATTACTTATATGAAAGAAAAAAATATTATATTCTAATTTTCAAGAAATTATTTCCAAGAAATATTTTATTTTGCCATCATTCCAGCAATTCTGGAATGCAGATTTTGCTTCAGCTTCGGACAAAATCGCTTCAATTGAAACTGATAGCTGCTTGGTAATTCATTTATAATTTTATTTTTACAATTGTTATCTTACATTTAATTCCTGGTAAAGTGCAATGATATCTTTTTGAATTTTTTTCTTTGTGGATCTCAGAATTCGGAATAACATTGGTAAAGTTAGGTAATTAAAGAATAATTGGTAGTGTTGCAGGTGAATAGTGATCGTGGAAATGAATATTTTCGGTGGGACCCTTGGGCTTGCGCTTTATCGGGATATTGTGAATATCGTTTCCTTATAGCTCAATGTCCAACTGCTGTATTTTATGCCTGGCCTATTGTAAATATTAGGCTTAATATTTGCAACAGTTTCATCGATCCCAGGTAATTTTTTGATAGTACTCATGAAAAAAACTTTTCTTAATAATTTTTTTATTATATTATTTCAGCAATCCACAAAATGAGAATCGTGCATCGTTATTGCGGAATTCGAAAAGTAAAGGAACAAATTCGTCAATATGTGGTGAATCACTTGGGCAAGATAGTTATCTGTCGTTATGGCAGAAATATTTGGTGATGGCATGTGCTCTTGCACCACCTCCTCATGATTCCATTAACTCATTTACCAGAGGTTTTTCACCTACTTCTTCGTTAGTTCTTTTGTATTATTTTAGCTTTTTTTTTTTTTAATCGTTAAATGCTTTGGTTAATTAGTAGACTTCATTTTCCACATTAAAAATTAATTTCATATTCTTTATGAAATATAGAGAAATATAGAGTGATCGTGATTTAATGATATATCTAATTCATTCCATATTGGGAATGAATTGTGCTGATATGTTTTATACAACTAATTTTTTTGTTGTTTTATATTCTTGCCTAGGTTGGTGAATAAATTTTTTAGAGCAGAAAACGATTTACTTCGTTCAATACCATCGATTCGTTTGCAAAAAAATTTAAATGTTAATGTTAGTTTCTACCAAAAAATGATCTCAATGTTACGATGGGAGCATATGATTGATATGCGCGATAGCGTTGTACTTGGAATTGGTTCTATCAATCCATTTTCTTTTGAGTAAATTTGAATTTATCTTTCTTCATCAATTTCATTCGTAAAATTCTTAAAAATTTATTGTATTTCGCTTTACTTATCTCTTTTAGAGATTTTTAAAAAGCTATATTTGTTATTCGGCGTATTTTGATCCCTTCTTTTCGTGTTATGTATGCTTATGATAAGCGTTTTATTCTCAATTTAATCATCTCATGTTCATACAGTTGGTGAATATCATTTTTTTCCTTTCTAGGAGTTTATTGTACGAAATGAAAATAGTATTACGAGAAGCAATGGAAAGAAAAGCTGATAATAATGCTCGAAGAAAAAAAAGGAAAGATTTATTACGACTACAGATCATTAGAATTCTGGAAGTTTGTTCCATTCATTTGATATTTTATTTGTTTTTTTTTCCTTTTTGTATTATTAATCGGCCATTTTAATTTATTAATTGATGAGAATTCGCAATCCTTATAAGTCGATTATTGTTAAGGTAGCAGTATTTCGTGGAGTGATGTTATGTTCTGGTTGTATCGATTCTGAAAACGGACTTTGTAGTGTGTTGGCTGATTTTTTTGATTCTATGCGTCAGAACTTAGAATCTGATCAAGTTTGGATGGACACCTAATTTCTTTTCTTATTAAAATTTTTTGCTATTATATGAGTTAAGCAGTTCTTCTCTAGAACATAAAAATTAAATGGCATTATTTTTATCTTAGCATTAATTCGACTACTTTTTTATCAAAAAAAATGCATTTAGGATCGTGATTTGTTGTTATTAACCAATCTAAGGTTGCATTTCGCTAAAACAGTTTCATTTATAATTCATAGCGTGCCAGGTAATTATAAATATCATATAAAGCGAATTTTCTTCATAAATTTAGTAAATCGGTCTGTATTTATTATTACTGTTTTATTGTTGGTTTGTACTAATTGATTTCACTATGTATTTTAAATATGGATTATTTAGCTGATAAAAGGAAGAATTTGTTGGCAAATGATAAGAAACAAAGTTTATTTTTTCTTTTCACATCATGGTGTAGTCGAAGTATTGCCTCCAGTGAACGAAAGTATATTGTTAAAATTTTTTTCCTCTCTAATACTTTATCCTTTCAATAATCAATTTTTTTCCTTATAAAAACTTTTTTTGGTTAAAACGTAAGTGATGGTTAGTTATCCATTATCTCATTATCCTTGATTAGCTAATTGTTCTGGTTATGGTTAGAAATTTTGGCGAGCCACTTAATAATACAACTAGAAATACAACTAGGTCGCTAGCAGCATCTGTTTTTTAAATTGCTGTGGAGTTTTACTCCTGTAGAGTAGAAGCCGAAACCTTTCATTACGATAATTGAGCCACTATCGTCACTCGATTGACCTTCTGCTCTTTTTTTAACCAAAAGAAATCTTTTATTCACATATTATTTTAAAATAATTGCTCTCAAATTAATTTCCAGACGTGAAGGAGATGTAGGTACATATGTGGAGCAACGTGCCATTGAAGCAATGTGTGCATTATTGTGTTGCGGTCCGATTTTTGAAACAAATAAAGCAATCGGAGAAAATGGTTATTTGTATGGTTGGCTCGAAACTTTATTGGATTCTACCAATCCAATTGTAAATATATTAAATGTTTCAATTTTGGTTAAAAATATGACTTTAATTCAATTTCTAAATATTTAATTTTTAATAGTTAATAGATCGTTAAATTATCTCATATGATCACTGTTATCTAATAATCTTTTTCAGTGAAAATCTTCAAAATTTTAATTTTAGGTGGAAAAATTAATCGAGAGGACATTAAGTGTTATGATAGATTTAAACGATGAAACACCACAGTTACTAGAATGGGCAATTAATATTTGCTATTGCAAACCATCCAACATTGTTAAAAAATGTTTTAGATCACTTGTTATGTTATTTTCGAAAAGGTTCTATAAATATTTTCATAAAAACAAATTAAAGTTTTAAAACTGTAGATGAAGTAAGAAAAGAAAGGCATTTTCTACTCTCCAGCATACTTCTGGAAAACAATAAAAATGCTTGATTTCAATTACTATTTTTTAAATTTTTTTCTCTTTGTAGGGAATACCCCTGTGAATTCGTCTCGATCTTTATTTTATGTCAGATGTTGTCCGCAGATGTGGATCCTTGTGTATCTGAATCGGCGATCGAATTGCTTCATTTGTTACGGCGGCAATTTCTCGATGATTCAGTTACTGTCGTTAAATATAGGAAATCAAATGTCAATTACTTCTTGATTAACCAGATTGAAATATGTCGTCTACTGGCGAAGACGTATCCAAAAATAACTATGTCTGTTTTCTCAGGTTCATAAATTTAATTTTACTGTCAAAAAGAATACTTATTGTTTTTATTTTTTCATTCTTGTTTTCCAGAAGTATGTTGGAGAGTAGAAAATGCATGTCCAAGTCGTCGCACTTCAATGTTAACTCTTCTTGTGGCATGGATTGAAAATATTCAACTTGTTGATCAGCAGGTATTTCTAAATAAATTATTTGACCTTCATTGATTAAAAAAATTTGTCCAACAAAATGATAGAAATTATTGTAGCTGAACGAAAAAACCTATGAAAAAATTATTTAAACCCAATGGAACATGTTCAGGAAGTTGAAAAAAATAATTAAACTATTTATTAAAAAATCTTATGGTTTAGAAATGAAATCGTTGTTTCTCAATGGATGTCATAATGATCATAGTTAGCTCAATAAATGAAGTGATAATTAATTTAAGGCAGATTTTCAAAAAAATGATACGAGTGGAACTCATGGATGGGGTTCATTAGAATCTAGTCATTTAATCCTGAATAATCTTTTATATATAACATGTGCGCAATCAGCTGAACACTCGAAAGAAATATCCTTATTGTGGAGAACACTTGCTAATAATTATCCATCAAATTTATCCATTATTATTAATTATCTGTTCACAATGGTTATTCTTTCTCCTGATATATTGTTACCTCATGTAAGTATTTTATGCAGTGATTTCATTTCAAATTTCACTTTTTAAAATATTTTGCGAAATTCTGCTTATATTCATTGGTGGAATGTTAAAATTTGTAGGTTTTTAAAGATTGTAGATCAAAATAAAAATTTAGAAATTGCTTTCATCATGGAAATTTAATTATTATCAGGTAAGAAACTGAAAATGGCAATATCTAAAATGATGAATTCCAAGGAGAATATTCTCAGAGAAAATATTTTAAATTCAAATTCAATATTTGAATGTAAATATTTATATTTATCTAATTTATTCAATTATCTATCTAATTATCTAATTTAAATCATTAAATTATTTTTAAAAAATTATTGCCAGCATTAGTCATTATCGATATTATTTTATTGGTCATTTTAAGCGTTTTTTTAAAAATTTAAAGTATTTGATGGACAGAAACCATAATTATCCATTATTGTCATAGTAACTATTTAAAAAAAAAGATTTTAGACTAAGCGGATCATATGTTATTTAATGGATTCTTGTGCCAGTTCAGTCGTTACAATTCTTATTGACCATTTGGGAAATGTGAATGAGCTGTTCAAAGCTAATTTAGAACGATGTGAAATGCCGCCATATTATCGCTATCAGAATAGTACTGATATGCTTGAAAAAGATAAACGGGAAGTTCAAGATGATCCGAATGAAGACTTATCTTTTGATAAGTCTAAAAAACATAGAACAGATTTATCGGCGAGTAGCGCTTGTTCTGATAAATTAACTAAGGTATTTATTTCTTTATAGATTTAATTTCATTTTTTTTCAAACGGCGTATAGTTTCTTTCAGTTGAATATAACTGATGAAGAAACAATAAGTGGAATCCATGAATTACCGATGCCTGCTTATGGTGGTTATTATTCTCCACTTTCGAAATTCCTTGTTCCTATCAGTCAATCGATTATTTCTTTTTCCAGGTAAATTTTTGCGAAAAACAAATTTTTTTAAATAAAAAATCGAAAAATTTCACGTAAATTTTTATAAATTTTTATAATTTCATGAGTCGAAAATTTTGTAATTTTATGAGTTGAAAATTTCAGATGTAATCTTGCCTTGCTGCATTTGTGCGATATATTGAGATGTTCCTCAAATGTTGATTGGCAAGAACATATTCCTTTACTTTTAATTGTTTCTATTATTGGTCTTGATTCGCTTCGTCCAACAATTTGTAGACATTCGCGGCAGACTATCATAAATATCATTTTGCTTTATGCTAATGATTACATAACTATATCGCAACTTTCTAATATTCTGCTTTCTAACCAGGTTTTTGCATTCATCCAATGTTTTTTGATGCCTTACAAGCGAACTGGAAATATTTTATTTTGCAAATATCGTTTAGATCTGCATAGATTGCACAAATGATACTTTGTTATTAAACTATTATCAGAATCATAATGAAAGCATTATATGCGGTGAAACACCATCAATGAAATATCCAGAATATCGTCAGATGCTGTTGAAGAGTAATGCTATCTTTTGTTCGAAATCTGAGCTCGTTCAGGCTATCGTATTTTGCATGTCTGAAAAGTAATTTTTATGATAAAATTTTGTGAGTTAATTAAAAATATTAACGATTAAAATAATACAAAAATAATAAAATCTGCATAATTTGATTGCTGGTTTAACTGGTTTAGCTGGGGAGTAGTAGTAGTTGAAAATAAATTATTAAGTTATTGTTGTGGATTTTTTTCTTATTAGCAAAAAAATATCCATCATATGGCAATATTAGGATCTATTTTTAGAATGGAACGACCCCTTTGGTCCAATGAAGATATAACGCCCAAACAGTGGAAGATAGAAAGTGCAGAACATCTTGGCTGTTTAGTTCGTCATCTTGCTGAATTACTGCTTGACAATATACCACTGCTTGCTATTCGATGGACTCAATTGGCTATGGGAATGGCTCTTTCTTCTTCAAATCGTCATATTGCTGGACGATGTTTTCAAATAGCATCAGCATTATGTCAGGTAATTTATTTTATTTATTTACTTCCGCAAATTTGGATGAAAATGAACGAGATGTCTTGTTTTCTCAAAAACTATGTTTTAGTCGCCATCTCCATGGATTCCTGGTTTGCTGTCACGATTAGTGGAAACTGTGGGTGAACCACATGATGAAACACAATCTTATGTTACTGATATTCTGCTTTGCTTACATACAACAGTTGGTTATCTTGCTTTATCGCAACAAGTTATGCCATCACAGTCACCTACCCATGCTCGTTCAATTTCATATACGCCTGCATTATTACGGCAAACTGCTGTTGCTGTTGCATCTGCTACTATATCTCCAGTACATGATCGTAAAGGTTGAATGGAATATTCACTTATTTTATTTTAATTCATCTGGAAGATTGTTACTAAATTTTTCATTTCAAATTCGTTAAAACAAAATATTTGGGGATTAATTTTTGCTTCTCTTCATCATTTTTTCTGGAATTATTGCAGAAATTCGCCACTCAATGATGATAAGTGAAACTAATGAACCAACAATTGGGTTATGCCGAAGTAAAAGTGCGACAGCATTAAAAAGTACAGATGTTTCAGTAGGGGAAGAGGATTTGTCAGCACTTTGTCAATTGTTGTCAATATCTGTTGCATTACTCGAATCCACTAATGATAATGAATATATTTTAGCCTTGCATCTTCTTGATAAAGTTTGCACTTTGATTTTATTCATCTTGCATGGTTAAGTTGGATTTGAAACAATTTCAATAATTAATAATAGTTTTACAGATATTGGATGCGGCAGGACCAGACAGAATAGTATGTCTCCAAAGATTGGCTAAAACAGTAAATCAACTTGATTGGACTTCTTTTAGTGGTTTAGTTGGTTTAATTGTGAAAGGTAAAGTTGCAGTTACTTTTTACTGTTGAGAATTATATTCTAATGGTGTTATATTCGTAATACTTTTGTGGATCCACCTTTAATTCTATCCCAAATGACTTTCTTGCAAAACAGTCCGTGGAGAATCTGACCTGAAATTATGAGTGTTGGCCACTTATGTTCTTTTTTTGTGTAAAAGTAATCAAGAGAAAGTAATTTGATTTCTTATAGGGAAATTCTTATAGCGAAAAATTTTTCAGGTACAGCAATGAATAACGGTTATGAATTATCCTTGTCATTATTGATAAAGTGTTTGGATGTAATAAATGAGCCAATAATGGGAAATAATAATAGTTTACCGTTAATCATAACTGTTGCATTACCTATATTGTTACTGAATTTTGATGCACCAACACCGTTATGTATAAGTGTAGCGAAGGCTATTGCAAATGTTAGTTTTTGTGAAAAAATCATCAAGTATTACTACCAATTATTATATCTAATTTCAAAATACAGTAGATTTATTAAAACCTGGGTTTTCAAAATTTTGTTTGGTTTCCGCTTTATTAAATTCATATAACATTATATTTGTAGCATTTGAGTGATAAAATCGATTATGTGGAAGAAGAAAAGAAGGCAACAGATGATCCAACAATCCATCTTATTTCGGTGAATCCACTCATTTTTTTTAGCACATAAAAAAATTTGGTATTTTTTCTAATATTAATTTAAATACGATTGGTTAGGATAGAATTTTGCTCATTTCTTTTTTTAATACACGTTTTTAATACTTTTAAATTTCAGATGATGGATAATTATGTGGAGCGATCATTTTCTCGAGATCGATTTCAGTGGGCTAAATGTGTTTGCAAATATTTGCACGATGCTTTTTTACCCGATATTATACAATTTGTTGTTCTTTTAGCTGAAGTAAGTAGAAATCTCTTTTATTTAATATTTTATGATTCTCCTCTTTTATATTTTCTGACCAAAATTAGAACATTGGTTGAGATAATTAAATTAAATTAATTTAATTTAATATATATAAAAAGAAGTTTGCAGTTTAGTTCAAAACTGCAAACTTTTTTTGCTGAAACGATTATCAATTAAATTGATATTAATCGGTGGTATAAACTTATTTCGAGGCATGTTTACGATCCGTTTTATTTTCCTTCGTTGAAATAACAAGAAATTGATTGCCTATTAGTTAAATGTTTTCTCATCGAAACTTTGGCTGTTGATATAGAAGATAGTTTATAGTGATATAGTAATTTTATTAGGGTAATTTGGTGATCTATTTCCCACTCTAATTTTTTCGATACCTTTATTTTTTATATATATAAAATTTATAAAATATATAAAATTTATAAAAATATCATCTCTGATGACCGTTTTATTTTACATTTATTCAATAATTTTTTTCATTTAAATATTAAAAAGATTTTTGAAGGATCCCTCGTTTTAATGCTTTTTTTTTTTTAAAAATACTTGGGATCCCTTTAAATATTGTATAGCATTATTAATTATAGCAATTTAATAATCATAAAATAGGTTGTCATCATTATCATCAGTTCAGTAACGATTTTTATGATCACTTCATTTCTCTATCTAATAGTTCTATTTTTATTTATATCAATTCATTCTATAGAATAATATTTATTAACCTTTTACCTTTTATTTTTAAATTTTCTACTTAATGGAAGTATTAAGTTGATTAATTTATTATGCATGTGCAACAGGTGTTTAATTTAATTCTATGAATATTTTATTAAATATCTCAAATAATGAAATGAGAGTGAATGTTCCTATGTGAATAAATTTAGATTAATTGAGCTTACAGAAAAATTCTAGATATTGGATCGTCAAACATCATCACCATTACATATGTTAATATTGCACATCATATATTTATTAATATCGCATATTGACAACATCTCTGAGACATCCTTCACTGCTTTTAATACACAAGTATATTTAACTTATCTAAAAAACAAATAAATTTACGGAAATATTTCCCTAAAAATTTTTAAATTGGCATTATTATTGCGATTTGTGACCGTTTTAATATTGCGACGACTGACTGCTGCATATTGCATCTCATTCGTTCTTATAATAATAATCTCATATTTCAAGCCATTATTCCATTTTTTAAACATAATTTTTCCTAAAGCTGAATTTTTTTTATTAATATATGCTTTTATTGTTGGTATTGATATAAAGAACTTATTGAACTTATTCTTAATCCAAACTTTGGTAAATTTGTTCATCTATAGAAAAATATTACAATATTAACTTTTATATATATGTATACTTGGTAACTATTTCAATATTGGATTATTAATTATTAAATATTTTTCTTATTTTTCTTATTGTTTTCGCAAATTTGTTTTATTACTACTAATTTTTAATGTTTTTTTTCAGGTGATTCGAAATATATCCAAGTATTTACAGGTTTTTTTTCTTATTCTTGTTTTGGAAAATATCAAATTCTCGACTAATCATTTTGATAAATAAATAAAAAAAGATTTTAGGGACCAAACTGGAAAGAAGTGCTACGTGTTTTAAAATTATTCATGCAATTTCATTATCCATCACCGAATTATGTAAATTTTCGGTTAATAATATAATGAACTTTAAATATATAATATAAATTTTTATTTTTTTTATTTTTATTTTTTAAATTTTTATTTTTTAAATTTTAAATTTTTTATTTTTTATTTACTTTTTAAATTGATATTTTTATTTTTATGGTGATAACAGTAATAATAACAATAGTAGAATAATGATTATAATGATATTAATAATGGTAATCAATGAGATCAAGGGATATTAAATGGAAAATAAATTTCGATATTATTGAAAATAATTGTTTATAAATTTGACATCTGTTAACTTATGTAAAATATATTTAGTCAAATTACAAAGAGATTGCTTCATAATACATCTGCTTTTTTTCTTCATTATTTTATTTTATCATTTAATTTCTTTTTTAGAAATTTCTCAATGATATTTAAGCAATGCATTCAAGCCTTCCTATTGATATATAAATTTCGTGATATGAAATGAAATATTTTACATTGTCTCTCCTCTCTTCACCATTAACCATTGGATAATTGAGCGAATAATTGCTTTTGAGCAATTAAAAACACTATAAAAGAAAAGAGATTCGTTCATTGGAAAGAACTATATTAGTTATAAAAGGCTTATTAAATGAAGCATTCTATTGTTGTCCTTTTGAAAAAAAATTCCAAAGTTTATTCAGAAAATGTACGCATACATCGTTTTGTTGATTAATGAAGCATAGTTAGGATGAAAATATGAAGAAAGATATTCAAAAAAAAAAGAACTGCTACACAATGAGACGCTGTAAAGTTATTCTTTTAGAAAGAAAACAATAAAGAAATTGGCAGTTTAAATGATGAAATACCAATTGATGATTGTATTATTATCGGTTCCTTATCACCACGAAAGAATTATGTCGATAATTCAGCGTTAAGAAAATATAATTATAATCAGGTATCATTTTTATGCAATATTGTTTCGTTCAATTTTTTTCCTTCTATTTTTTCATTTGAATAATTGCAGTTCAGAATAGAAAATAAATCGTTTTTAATTTTCGTCTATAAAAAAAAAGAAAAACGAAAAAGAGGGGCACATATACGAAATTATATAAGACTAAAAACTAAATTAAGTTGGTTTTAGAAGTTATTTTTTTGTTTTATTCATTACAGAAAATTTAAATAAAATTGTCGTTGTTAAAAGTTTAAAGGGTAAAGTTCGGGAACGTTTAATAACTCTTCTGAATGCATCAGGCCTTCGAGTGGGTTTACCGAAAAGTGCTTCCGTATGTTTTTTATCTTTTTTTTGGATTCTTCCGCTTATTTATTCTTTTTTTGTAATAAACTTTCTTGATTGGTAATATTGAATGGTAAATGTAATTAATAAATTATTCAAGATGATATTTTCACAATCATTACATGATGTGGTATATGAAGCTAGTGCATCGTTGTCATCATCAACTGAAAAAGTGCCACTGGAACATGTCGGCGGTGATATTGATACAGCATCATCACTTAATGCCCCAGATCCTTCACTTACAGATTCATTTCCTCGAGTTTTTCGGTATATCTTCATCATAGATTACCTACAATTTGACTGAAATTATAAAAATATATTTTTAATAATTTTGACAATTTTAATATTGGGTTTTATTGAGTGAATTCCATAAATTTTCATTTTGTAGATCTGATATATTATTAGGTCAATATAAACAGTTGAAATGAAACGGAATTTTTAATGATAATTAAAAGGGAATTTTTTTAGCGAATTTGATTTCTTGGAGGCAGAACATGATAGTGTATCTGAATCAACAGAATCATGTTTCAACTGGTTGTCAACTATGCGGCCACGATCAATAAGTAAAGTTAATATGGAAACTGATGAGCAATATCAAGACGATGAATATACCGAGATTGCTAATGGTCAAAATCAGCATTCATCCAATGGTATTTTTAATTTTTTAAAAGGTTTCAAATTTTTTTGATATTTGAATTAATTTTTTCTTACTTCCCTTAATGCTTAAAGAAGATATTTAGCATCGGATTCCCTGGAAGCATCAAGTGAACGAACGCCATTACCATCAGAAATTCGAAGTGAAGCGTCGTTATCAGAAGTTGAAAGTTCTTGCGATGACGAAATAAATGAAGAGGAAGAATATGCTATGGGTGATGAACATCAGAGGTTTTTTTGAAATCCATTTTTATTTTTAATATTTATTTTCTGTTTTTACTATATTTATATTTATTTATGAATGGTTATTAATTTTATTACGAATAAAAATTAGGGAATATTTAATCTATGTAAAATAAACAATTATAATTACAATTTTTTATTGAAAATATTCTTTATCGTTTTTTTTAATTTTCTGGTTAACCAATGTTGTTCAAATCCACTTGTTTTTTTGTTAACACATATTGATGATTGCTTCTTTTTCGTTTCTTTTCGAAGTTTATCCTTTTGTTTTTATATTTTATTTAAGACAAGGAAACGATAAATGTTTTTTATTTTACTTTTTTCGAAAATCCATTAATCGGATGTTTAAGATTTGATTTGACCGTAATTTTCAAGGCATAGAAAATTTTTTTGTATAAAATTCAAACGACTCACGCTAAATTCTATTTTAGAATGGTAGATACATCCTCCATAGCCGAATCAGTTCAGTGCAATCATTCAGAAATATCGGAAGTACAAACATCTCATAAATTACGCTTATTTTTTGAATGTAATCATCATTCTTCATCACAGGTTTTTTAATTTCGAAAATTAAAATTAATTTTGTTTTATTCCAATATTTTTCTTTAAAAAAGATCGGAATTTTAGAGCGAACAACAGTGGCTATCATGTTTATCAGAGATTGCAAATGATACTACAGCCGATTTAACCTCACATGCTACTATCTTATTTTCACAACTGTTTCGAGTGGGTTTTTAAATTTTTTCCTGTTTATTGAATTTAAGGATTTGTGAAAACTGATGAATATATAAAAAAGGTCAAATATAGTTAATAATGAAGTATAACGTAAAAGGAGTAAGAGTAGCTTTTATTTAACTATTTCTCTTAACTGTCTTTATAAATAATATTTTTACTAGTTTGCATATCATATTACATGTTGGCTTACCTATTAATACATTAAACAAATATTTGTAATCTTTTTATTAGGCTGATACTAAAGAAAATGGATTGAAGATGAAGTTAAAGCTGATTGGATTGGATAAATTATTATTTAAAGAATGGAAAAAATAGATAATGGACTTTTTTATGTCAAATAATAATTCGGAAAATATTGTGATCGATCAATTTTAGGATTGTTGTAACAAATTGTCAAGTTTATTACGCGATATACTGCATATTTTATCATCTTCATCGATATCGCAAGATATTTCAATTTATTTGAGTAATTCTTTGGATGCAATCATAAAAATTTATGATAACTCGCCTTTTTTGTTTATCACTCCATTCTATGTATGTTTTTTTTCGATTCTTCTATAATTTTTATTAATAAATAAAAAAATTGATATATATTAAAAATTGACTTTATTGAACGATTTATTTTGAACGGAGAGATTTTTCTGATAAAATGATGGAATTTTCTTGGGTTTCAGCTAAGATCGATGGGTTTATTAACGAGTCAGAAATATTTTTTAATGGAATTACATGAACATTATGAAACATTTATCGAGAGAAAAGAACAGTGTATACGGGTGCATAAAAATTTTATTAGTTTTTATTTATCGACTTTTCCCTCACAATTTCTTTTTTATCTTGTTTTCCTTCCTTCCCCCCCCCCCTTCTCTCTCCTTACGATATTTTCTTTCTTTAATATTTTCCCATTTTTATGAGCACAAAATCTTTATAAATTTAAGAAAATAGTTTCCTCCTGAAAGCAGCAGTCAATTTCACATCAATATATCCGTTTCCGTTCAATTTGCTGCTAAAATATTCGATATGTTGTCATGCTTCTATTTGCTATTATCGCCTTTTTTGCACTTTCCCATTCATTATATGCGGAAATTATTTTAAAAATTCGTTAATGAGAATTTACAAATTTAAGCATTTAAATGCGGTGAAAGCAACAATGAAATTAATGATGATTGGTGGTGTGTCGATATATGCGAATAATAACCAGGTAAAATGAATAAGTTTTTTTTTTTATTAATTTATTTGAAATAATTTTTTGAAAAATAAATATTTTTAGAATTTGGAATTATGCAAATCGTTATATAAATTGTTTTTTCAATTGCTATTAATGAGTGATAAATTTGATGAAATGATCAAATTTATACAAAATTTAACCAATTCGCAGGTATATATTTTTTATTTCTATTAGTTTTTTTATTATTTTGAATTTTGTTTTTTATTTTGTTCTTAATTTTGATAGATTTTATTTACAATCGAAGCGAAAAGTAAAATTGATTTTCCAAATAAATTAATTAATTAAACATTGATAATTACATATCAAAAAATTTGATATTTTTTTGGTTTTTCTTTAAATAATAGATTTTTATTAATTTCAAATTTTTCAAACAATTTTTATTCTTTGTTTAAGATTTGAGAAAATATTTATCTTTAAATTTAAACATTTAATTGGTGTATTAAAACATAGTGATTTAACTATTAAGAAATAATTGAGGAGCATGCAAAATTCTTTTAAAAAATTTGCGTAAAAATATTTAAATTTAAATTTATGGAATTTATGGATGGAAGTTAAATTTATGGAATATTATGGCAATGTCACGGTTACTGTTAACAAAAAAGATTTTTTTTTGCGTGTAATTTTAGTAAGAAGAAATATAAGAATAAAGGGAAAAAAGAATGAATGAAGAAGAATGGAATTATTGTTGTTGATAGGTTAATTGATGATGAAATTGTCATGAAATATAATAATTATTATTATGTGAAGAGAGAAAATTATTACGATGATCAATCATTTTTATACGATATTGATAGAAATTTTTGGGAAATCTGTTGTGTTTGGAAGGATGAAAAAGTTTTAAAAATAAAATAAGAAATGAAAAATAAGATAATAAAGATAAAGATAAAAAATAAGATAAAAAATAAGGAAAAATAGGAAAAAATAAAATATTTCAGACAATCAGACAATTAGATTAGATGAGTTTTTTTGTTCAGTGAATTTTACTACTCATTATAGAATGTTTGGCGAATCTTATTTTCATTAAAAAATCCTCATTCCCACAGTCTCTTCTTTACCTTGAAAATGTTTCATAAAGGTCACAAAAATTAGTTTTACTTATAAGTTAACAGTTTATATATATATCTATACGTATATTTATCTGTGGATAAGATAAGATCGTATCATAGATAAATAAATTTTATAGGGATGAGTGGAGAAATGATGTTCAAGGTTGTTTGTTTAAATTAACTCATCTTTTTTCGGCCTATATTATAGATAAACATCTTATTTATTATTATTTTATTGTTTTTTATTTTATTTTTATACTATTATTTTTTAAAAAATAATATTAACAATAATATAAGATTCACCAGAATTATAAACTCGCTTTATAGGTTTAATGGGATTAAGGAAAATTGGGTTGAAAAGTTGAATTTAGAGGCATAGCAGTACTAATGGACGTTAAATTGTTGGTATTCGTGAGATAATATCAATTCTTTAGATAAATTTTCTGGTCAAAAATTATTTTTTCGTAAATTTTTTGGTTTTTTGGTAATAATCAAATTTGATTTGAAAATCTTGTTAAAAATTTTTTATTTCAGGAATCAAATATCTCATCAGAAATCCTAAATTTGCATCGTTGTTTATTATCGATAATATCTGATAATTTATCAGATACGGCAACAGCAACATCAACAAACTATGCAACAACAATAACAACAACAACAACTCAGTCATCTTCATCAGCACCAATAACATCAACAACAACTTCAATATGTGGAACACAAAAATTGCTAAATCAACGAGATTCAAATTATGAACCTATTTTGAACGCTTTATATAATAAAGAATATGGAAATGCGATTTGTTTATTGAGAAAACGAAGGTTTCTTCCTTTTTGCTTCTTTTTCTTAAATTAGTGATATTTATTTATTTATTGTAAGAAAGATAAAAAATTGGTGAATTTGATAACAATCTGCTCATTATAGTTATTTTCAAATAACCAACCATCTGTTATATAGTTTTAGATATAATAAATATTATTTGATGTATGTTAAAAGTAGGAATACGAGTGGTGCTGGTGGTCATATACTTCTTTAATTGATAGGAGCAAATCAAATAAAATGTTTTTATAAAATCTTATAGGAAATTTTAAAATTTTATAAATTATGCTAGCAATACTTTAAAGCATTGTTAAATTATCAAAATGTTTTATCAAAAATTTTTGATAATATTGATGACTGAAAAAAAATTTTTTTTGATGAGATTTTCGAATAGAAAAGAAAAATTGTGATAATGATTGGTTTAGAATGATTGGTAAATAAGGTTGTAAGTAAATAAGGATCAATATTAGTGATTGCTTTTATCTTCTAATTTTGCTCTTTCGTGAATCCAAACAGCTTTCTGTCCTTTTCAAAAAATATTTTGGACTCATTTTTTTTAAAGATATTTTAAAAATTTTATGAAATTTAATGGTGTTCAACATGGCAACAAGATTCATTTGAAATAGTACTATAATTATATTTGATTCATTTGATGCATACGACTAATAGCAGCGTCGATTGTTTTCGGACTAAATATTAATTCTGACATCTTTAGCTTGAGAATTTTTTAAAAAATTATAATTATTTGGCACCTATGATTACTGTAGACTTGGAGGAGATTACTGTATATGCTGATATACTGTAGTTATTAATGGTTATTAGGACTTTTTCCAGAAAAAAGGATCCAGACAAAGGCGAAATATTGTCTTTAAAGGCAGTAAGTGGTAGTTTCATTATTTATCGCTTATTATTGAATGTATTTTTGCATCCGTTAGTGGAAGATTTTTTCCCTATTTCCTAGGACTTCTTATTAGATAGTTTCAATTATTTATTAGTCTTTGCAAATCTCATTTATTTGTTCTATTTATTATTTATTATGTATAATATTTTGCCAAAAAAATTGGCAAAATAAAATTTTTCGTAAAGGCAAAGAAGGATGAAGATAAGTAAATTTGAAGAAAATCGATGTTTAGAAACTAGATACGAACAGAATGAAAAAAATTCCCTTGACAACAGTTTAAAAGTTTAAAAATTAAGATGTAAGAAATTTCAGACAGGAATATGGTTCATTGCCATTATTATTATCCGAATATGGCTGTTGTGATGAAGTCGACGTTGAAGTGTTATTATTGATGTATTGTCGAAATTACAATAAAAATTCTTGGGCAGTTTTAGGAGGAAATTATAAAAATTTTATTTTAAATTGTAAAAATTTGAAGGAAATTAATATAAATATCTCGACACTTGTACGATTTCAACTGCTTGATGTGAAATCGTCGAGGGATTCTTTCAATCGAACCTAATCTATTTTGAAAAAAATTGCCCAACTTTTCTCAAATTTTTGACAATTCCAATCGTCTATGATTTTCCCACACTCACACCGGTATACTCGTTTCCCTTAATTTAGTTTTGTATGTGATGTGTTTCACCTTTTTCCCATCAGCCAATTACCAATATCTTAATTTTTCATCTTTTTAATTCATCAACAATTTGCTTTTATATTTATATTTCTTTGTGTATAAATTTGTTTTTTCAATGTGTTGAAAATATTTTTATACCATAAAAAAATTGTTACGTAAATATGGTTAAGATTTTTTGGTTAATGGAATGGAAAAATTTGACTAAAATTTTAAATGAAAAATAATATCATAGGTCGTGGTTGGCCCCACCGTCCCTTATGTATTCCCTTGTTTTTTTCGGACAGAATGGAGTTATACACTTCTAATAAAGCGAACAGGGGAAATCAATATATATTAATAAAAAACTAAGAACTATGACTACTATCTAGTTAAAATGGAATCTGGATGCGCTCGCCATTTCTGGTTACGCTGCGGATTGAAATTTTCACAGGGAAGTCAATTGGCAATTGAAGTAGTAATAGTTGTGAGCTCAAATTAGGAAGAGGTCCTCTCTTTTTGCCTACCTTCTTTGTCTTTTAACGCAACAAGGTAAGTCGCTATCCACTTGATTGTGCTGTTACTTGGATTTATGCTAAATGATGTCTTAAATGATCTCTTTAATGGTTATTTAAAATTTTAAAATTAGCTTGTGGAGCAAAAACGAGATTAATAAGTAATAGAGAATAGTTTGTTCAGGTGGTTAACGCTAAACGGTAAAATTATAAGATCATTACTTTACAAGTAGGTTTATGTATTTAGGGTGTAGATATACGCTAAAATATGCTGTTTTGGTAGTATTTTAAATAAGAAGGATATGTTTTTGCTCAAAAGGATACTTGTCGATAAAGAATAATTACATACATAAACTCTTAATAAATTCAATTTATTAGGTTGATCTAATTAATTTAGTCGTTGTCGTCGTTAATTTTTGCGATAGACAAGTTGCACTAACACAAACAATCAAAATCCTTATATATATATATATATATATATTTGCTTAAATTCCATAATTAAAGTCTATTCAGTTTAAAATTAGGTGACAATTTGAGCGGTGGCGTTGATACTGGTGATGGCGGCCAAATATGACCGCAAAAGAAGAGAGCAATTGAAGCGCAGATGTTCCTTCGAGTTATTTAGCGCCATGATGGTTATCTTCAACTATGTCTCTTAAATACTTAAAATGCAGTAGCCATTAATCTTATCATAATATTTCATCTTTTTTCAATAAGAATAATTCTATACGCATCAATTAAACCAATGCCAATAAATATAATATGCATGCAGTACCACTGTTTGGCATATAAATAGATCAAAATGGCTAAATGATTTCTTAAAACCTGTTATGAATAATTAACTCAAGTGGTAAATCAGGTCTTCAACTTTTTTTTCATTTGGACAAACTATTTTAAGAAACAACTTTTCTTTTACCCCCTGTGGGTTCTCACAACTTCAGGTTCTCCACCAGAGCCTGTGTGATTAAGATCTTAGCTGTTTCTAAAAGTGCGTTCTTCTGGATAGATGATTGTTCCTGTTGAAGCTAATTTCTAACTTTCTAACTTCCATTTTTCTAATTTAGCTACATATATCTATTTAGAATGCTACATGTTTTTGCATTTTTTAGTAATATATATGTTTTTGGTAATATATATGTTTTTGCAAACTATAAAATAAAAAAACTGTAATTTTATAATTTTTTTTTGTTTTCTAGGACATCCAGAAGATAAATCAATATTTTTTCGGGCAAAAACACTTGAAATGCTTCGTAGCCTTATATTTTATACAGATGTGAAGTACCATAGTAAAGCAGAAACTTAGCTAATAAAATAAAGCAAAATCTTCACTAAGAAAAGTGTAGCTCGAGTTTCGACCTTTGATATTGGTACTCAATAAAGTAAAAAAAAAGCAAATATACAAATATAATTTAAAAAGAGAAGTAAATAAAAAAAATATACAATAAAGCTGAGCATTAATGATGATAGTTTTATTATTATAAAAAATTTATAAGCGAAACTAATAATATTACTAAAATAATTTTTTAACAACAAAAATAATAACTATGAAATTACCATTAAAACTCTTAATAAAGCATAAATAAAATCTCCAAAAAATAAGAAAAGCAAACATTGCACAAGAATGTAAATTACACCAGCCCACCATCCTCACGGGGTCATTTAAAAAATGTGCTGAAATTGTCCTGTTAAAAAAACTATGACAAAAAACTATTGGGAGAACATAAATGGAGGGCTAAAGAAAGATGAAAATTGAGGGAATGGAAGGACATCATGTATACTTGGATGACTTTTAAGAGAATTGTTTATCACCTCATCTCTTTGCTTCCTATGACTATTACTATTGCAATTTTTATTCACAAAAAAGAAAAGAAAATATCACAAAAAATAAACAGAATCACGGCTTAGCAAGGAGATCAGAAACATCAAATCCTCCTTTCTTTGGTGGAGGTACTATAGGAACAGCAGGAAGAGGATTTGCGTTTGTAGCGTTATTTGTTATTGTTGGTAGTATGGGGCGATTAAAAAACTGCGAAAATTGTGTGGCGTGTTGAAGGAACAATTCTCTTGAGAATGGTGTTGGCGAAGGATAATAAAAATCGGATAAAGGAGGAGGAAATGAATAACCATTGAAAAATGGTAGGAATGTAGTCGGATGGTAAATAAAAGTATTTTCCTTGCTTAATATTGTCCCTGTAGGTGTTATTCCTCCTCCACCATCTCCACCTCCTGCCCCACTTCGAATATTATGCTGTTGCTGTTGTTGTTGGTTAACGGTGTCATTATTCTTGATCTTTTTTTGGGAAGGTTCATCATCGTCAGTTACATCCGAATCAACAGAGCTCCCCGCTCGAATGGGTGAGTCAATTCCACCTCCTCCTCCCACTCCACCCCCTCCTTCATCGCTTGCTTTTAGATAATTCTCATTATTTTTGCTCAGCAATCGTTTTTTTTCACGTTTACCAGCACCGGCATCTCGAAATCCTTTTGCAAATGGATTGTTATCTATTTTTAGCTGAGTAACCTGAAATCCAACTGTATAAAATACATTTATTCAGCCAAATTGTTAAAATTAAACGGCAAGACCCTCGAAAAAAGATAATATTATATGAAATAAAATATAATATAAAATATTATATAAATAAATAATATAAATAAATATATTTTATATAAATAATATAAAATTTATGAAAAAAATTTATGAAGAGATATTGTATTATATGATTAAATTAAATTCTGATGATAATTTCGTTTGAATTACTATAATTTGTTGGTTTTTTCCCTGATTTCCATTTAAAATCGCGATCCATTTATTCTTTCCTAAAAGTCTCTTAAAATATAAACTTAGAAATTCTTATTGTTGTCTCAGAATTATCATCAATTCTTGCAATTTTCTCAACGAATGAATAAATTTTATTCTTGAAAATATAAATAGATGAGTTTGTGATTATGATTTTAGTCGAGCGATTTGTTATGGATATTGTGATTGTTTTGATTGGACTAAATAGATGTATAAATGAGGTGAATATTGGAAACAGTTATTTAATAAAATAAGCTAAATTAAGGAATTAAATTAAAGTATATATTAAAAGTTATTCTAAGAAAACGAATAACGATAGAATTAAGGAATTATGAAAGAATGATGCAATAAGTGAAGAATAATGAATGAATGAAAAAGGATAGAACCGAAATAAGCCCATTTTAGGACAAATGTAGCTCAGTCCACTTCCAATTATTAATATATAATATGAAAAAATCCGAAAAATCGACTTTTTAGAAAATTTTAAATCTTTTTATTTCTCCCATATTTAAGACTAAAACTAATCGGGAAAATACCGATTTTTCTGCATCCCTTCTTTATTCTAACTTCTTTTCTCCTTAAATTTATTTGCTAACAAATGAAAATATAAAATTAGTAATTCCCAGAAGTATTTATTATCTACTGTAAAATTAGTTCTAATTTAGGGAGATGAATTTAAAGTCAACTTTATTTATCGATTCTTTTCATTTAATTTATTTTTTAGTAAAATTTTAAGTTTTTTATTGCATAATTCGCTCAAAAATTGCAATAAAATAAGTGAAACTAGAATTCAGGAGCAATGACTTCGGTTTTTTTTAACCGCAAAGCACTTATGTGACTATGCGTAATATATCTGCGACCTTATATCGATTCGCTGTGAAGCTCTTCCTAATTTATCGCTAAATTTAAATATCTTCAAAAACTGTAGAACGTGCACCAACATTTTACATTTCTTGTTCAATTAATAAAATAAATGGGAAAAAAATATCAAAGGTAAAAAACCAGAAGTCTAGACAACGATTTATGGGCATGCATCATAGAAAAATGGAATAGATAAACAATATAAGCGAAAAAGAACATACAAAAACAAGTTACAGGATGCAGAATGCTAATGCTCGAGTGCTTCGAATGAGCCAAGCGCCATGGGCTCGATATTTTTTGAAGACAGCAAACCCATCGTTAAAAATGGAACTATTGAAGACCCATCCCAAAGTCTCTAGCGAAAAGCACACTGATAGTTAGCGCGGCAAATCAAAATGAAAATGGTGAATAGTGTTGGAAAAAGAATAACAATAAGAAGAATTAAAAGGGAACAAATAAATTGAAGAAGCAAAAGATATCTCAGTTCTTTTCATTTATACGAATTCACTTGATCCAATGATCTAATTAAATTACCTTTTCGTTTTGATAAGCCGTAACAGCGATAAATTCTGTTTCTTTAAAAACAAATGTTCGAAATGTCGAATAGGGCAAATTAATTAATTCAGCACATCGTACAACATGCAGTCGCGGTTGATACTTATGCATTGAATTTAAAATCGTCTGCAAAAATAATTTATATAAAATTTGTGAAAATTCGAGAAAAAAAATTCGTTTAAACTCCTCAGCACTATTCCAGAGTAAATTTGGAGAAAAACTTTTAACCACTCCAATTCGCTCTTAAAGTTTTTAAACTTCTCCATTTTTTCCACTACTTCCAAAACTATTTTCAATGATTTCAAACTAACAAAAAATATAATATGATATGATATAAAATAAAATAAGTTTATTTAGAAGAAAAAAGCAAATATAATGAAGATAATAACTTTGTCCATATTTATTTGTATACTATTTTTATTACTTTTTTTATTAGTCTTTATCATATCAATAAATCCAAGTGTTTGCAATTTACCACTGCTTAATAATTATGAACATTTTATATACTGATGAAGTATAGATAAATGGCTAGACAAATCTAACAAGCTGACAATCGTAACGATCGAACTGAACGACAACTGTAACTTATAACAATATTGGCGAAGAATGGATACAATAAATCAAACAAAGGATAATGACATATCTATTTTATATTTTTATAACAATTTATGCTACACGGATTTAATGGCTAATTAGACCAAAATTTATCAATAATGTAAAATGCTCGCCTTTGACCTATCTACGAATTTAACTTATTGCCTATAACTTTTATCGCCTTGGACCATTAGAGACCATTTATTCATTAGGTGCTATCTACAACTTTTTTATTACGTTTTTCAACAAATCTATAAATCAATCAATGAGAAAACACATCTTAATTAAACATTTGCTCAACGTTTTTGCTAAAGATTTATTATAAAAATTAAATTCACCTTTAAAGTGGTTTTAAAATGTTACTTTAACAATGATTTTCATAATTTTTTAATTAATAAATGTACGACCATAATAAATGCCTGAATGATATATTGTTTCAAATATATCAGTTATCATGGATTCAGCTCTTATCTTATGAATAAGCCATTTATTAAAATAAAGCCTAGGCAACACTGCAGAGCAACCTGTATTTATTATTTTTGAGCAACTCTATAGCGAAAGTATCTCATCCAAATAGCCATTAAACCCAGTGAAATCAGAAATGCTGAATTCTTTTAAAAGTAGGTAATAAAAAATATGTTTTTATAATACATGAACAGATGAACAAATAATCTAATGATTTGTTTGAGTCTGGAATACTTTAATATTTATAACTGATCACTGAAAGTTATTTTTCTTGCAATTATAATAATTATTTCAAGATTTTCTTTGGTAATATCCGCAGTATATTTATCTAAATTTATACTTTATATGAATAATTATGTTAACTGAGGAATAACTAAGAAATTACAAAGGTCAAAAGTTAGAGCGAGATAACTTATTCTCGCTAATTTATTTTTATTGTAAGATATGCCATGTATCAAATATTACAAACGAGCACCGCTGCTCACTCCTCTTTTTTCTCGACTGATTATATTTTAAACACACATATATATATATATATATATATATATATATATATGATATGGTACGACTAGTCAATAAATTGGGATAATATCATTGATAATAGTACTCGTATCTTGAATCTTCATAATGACGATACCATAGTTGTAAGTGTTTAATTGAATGATTGTTGTAGTGATATGGTGGTGTGATATTTCGAAAAGAAAGGATCTAACAGCTGTCGATTGATACATCGGAAGATATATGTTATTCAGTGTAATACAAATTTAAAGATTTGTTAAAAGAAGATAAATTATAGTGAACAAGCTAACGAGAAAGAAAGATGTGGGGAGAAAACGGGAAGTGGAGAAAAGAAAAAGTGAGAATTAGGAGCGAGGAAAAGGAGCTGTTGATGGTGGTCATTATGGACGAATGGATGAATGGTCAAATGGACAGATAGATTAACCAATGGATGAAAGGTTTAAGAAAATTGTACTCTTTGGTTAGGAGAACGAATTTTCGTTACAAATAGATCAATCATTCACACTTGCGATTCGCAACTGACATGCTAGTTAAAATTATTGCGCGTGACGTATCTGCGTATCTGTGTATACTGTGTCATACCCCGCATAACTTCCCCATTATCATCATCATCATTATCATCACCTAGTGGATGAAACGTGCTGATTTCCATGGATATTAATGGACACTCACAATTTATCTATTATATCTAAAATTTTTGAAATTTTTGGCAATTAATCAGTAAAAGTTCTTATAATAATAATGGCAGTTATGATCAATAAATTATAAATAATAACGTTATAATTATTTAAATAATAAATAAATTATTTAAATAATAAATTAATAAATAATAAACAAACTATACAACAAAAATAAAATAAGTAATAGCTAAGTTTGCAATTCTTATTAAAAGTTATTTTATGAATTAATATTAATTAATTAATACTTTAGTAGAATCAGTAATATAATTTTTTGTAGCTTAATTTAACTAATTAAGCTACAAAAAATTTTCCAAATATTTCATCAGCATTTCTCGGGTTTCATAATTGCAAATTTTGCAATTTTAAATATTCTAGATTTAACAGATAAAATTCATTGTACCAGATGAATGACCCAATAATTTAGGTAAGAATAAAAGACAATAAAAGCCTCTTCCTCTCAACTCGATAGTTTGAACTACTATCTACTCGGCTATTCTGCTCATATATGAAATAAGAAAGAAAAAAAGGCAAGGCTTGGAAAAATTTTCGCCAAAAATACCAAGTACGAAAAAAAAATGATGGAAGAAATAATAGCAACTTCAGTTTTATACTTTAAAAACTCATATGGTAAACCACTAATAATGATCCTGTTTAAATAGTTCAGTAATAATATTAAATGGCTGTAACTTAATTATCTTAGCATGCACTTATTACAATTACAATATAAAGTATCATAATACTATGCAAAATATAATATAAAAATACAAAAATGAAAAACAAAAATTGATTGATCTCATGTAAATTTGAGAATGATAGGAGAAAATAAATAAATAATAAATGAATAATTATCAAAATTTCGATTCATTGTATAATTTGCCAGCACAAAATAAAAACATTGAAATAATATTCCTTTATTTTAATTATTTTAAATATTTTCAATAAAATATTTTCAAAAATACATATAAGGTTAAAAATTTCGCTAACAAATTATTCGAGGATAGAAATAGGGATGGACATGAGAGCACGGATTTCTTAATGGCAAACTGCTATGTAGCCTTGCCGGACGAGCCTCTTCCCCTCAACTCGATAGTTTGAACTACTATCTACTCGGCTATTCTGCTCATATATGAAATAAGAAAGAAAAAAAGGCAAGGCTTGGAAAAATTTTCGCCAAAAATACCAAGTACGAAAAAAATAAGAAAATTTTAAATTTAAGGAAATTTTTAAGGGAAATTTTAAATTTAAGGGAACATAGACGAATTTTTGGCACTCTCATAGACTTTTCAATTTATTGTTTTGAAAGGTTAAAAATAATTATTCAACCTTTTAACGAAAATTAGAGAGAGGATTGAATATTTCGTAAATTTTAAAATGTTTCAAAATTTCATTGCAAAAAAAACTTTTGAAATTATCAATTTCAAAAACAGATAATTCATTTAAAAAGCTAAATGCATTGAAGACTAATAGAATGAAGCTGATGGTCTACCAATACTTCAATTTTCAAGTGACTCACTGACTATGATGCCTCTTCAATCAACTGACCAGAAAATTGGTAAATATTTTATCTCTAAAATCAATAAGGCCAACAAAGCCAAAAACGGTGAATGCTGCTAGAGGAAGAAAGAATGTCAATGAAATAAAAAACAAAATTCCCAAAATTTAAAAGAAAATTTATTGAAGAAATCAATCGATATATCTCGAATTATCTATAAAATATATTTAATGGATTGATGAATATGAAAGAAATCATCATTATAAGGAAACAACCATCTTCCCATCATAGTGATTTACCTTTGAAAAATTATAATTATCATTATTATAATTATCATAATAAGAGGAAAATTATCATAATAAGAGGAAAATTATCATTTGTCTTTCATTTTAAATTCTCCAATCTCATTTCTCCTATAAAATGAATAATCTGAGCCAATTCGACTATCCTATCTCTATTTTCTACAAAATTTTCATTTTAAATTCAATTCAAATTTAATCAAGTATGAAAGGTAAAATTAAGGTAAAATTATTAAAAATAATTTTAAAAAGTCATTGCAAATCGATTGTAAAAAAATTTGATTGATGTTCAAAGAAATGAAAAATTGTCGATTTTGCCAAACAGCTTTAAAAAAAAAATTTCACAGAATTTTTCAAAAAATTGATAGAAATAATAAAAAAATAAAATTTGTAAAAAATTAAAAATCAGCAAGCTCAGCTTTTCATCGAGCTTTATCACTGCTTTCATAAATATTATTACTTTTATTATTTATTTATCAGCAAATTCTTTTTTCAGATTCTTTCTTTTTAAATAATTTTTAAAGTTTGCAATTATAATTAACAAATGGTTGCTACAGTTAATAATATTATAAATAGTATTAATTGATCGAAAAAAACTAACAAAGCCATGCTTATCCGAAATATTATTAGTTAATTTTAATTTGTGAAAATTCGCTCCTTTATTCATCCAATGTTCACCAGTTGCTGGACTATCGGGATGCACATACATACGTTTCGGCATTTCTGGATCCGATTTACCAGCAATCATCCACCGAGAATTATGAAATTTATAGCGACATTCATCTGATGGTACTATATCCATTAATAAGATATATTTCGATTTTTTGTCTAATCCAGATAACTTTACTTTAAATGCGGGGAATATTCGCCTGAAATTTAGTTTTTTTTTGATAAAACCATCATATATAAATATTCAAATACAAATGTTCCAAAAATTGTTCAAAATCGATAATACCGATAATGAAGAAACCGATTAATCAATATTTATCAATCTGATCGATAAGGAAGAATTCTTTTTCAATTTGTCACAAACGATGCAAAAATTTATTATCTTAATGCCCCTAGGCAATTCGAATAATTCCTTCACAAATTTCACTTTTTTGAAAATTTTCTTGTATTTTTTAATAAAATTGCCAATTTGATTAAATTCATTAATCGGTTCTTGTTAAAGCTTTTTATGTTTGAATTGTTAATGAATTTTGTTATAAAAAATTTCTACTTAAAAGTCTTTCTTATAGTATCACTTGTTAAATAAACGATTAGCGCTCATCATTTCTGGGAAAACTAACTGCGCTTCTTGCTAATGTGATTCCTACTAGGGGATGCAGATAGAAGCACAAGTGATTACCAGCACCATGCGGATTCATTAATGGTAGGTTTATTTATTTAAGGGAAGGAGGTGACTTTTCTCCCAACACTGATGATAATTTAAACCATTACACATTCAGTCCTTCTGTTTATTAATTAGAAACTGAGATTTAATTAAAGGCTTAAAACCTTTCCTTTTGCTCTAAAAAGTATTGCTGTTTCCAGCATTTTGCATCTAAATTTTTATCCATATCCATATCTTAAATTTATTCAGGTTTTCTCAAAATTTATAAAATTTATACAGAATTTTAATTTTCAGTGAATTCCAGAAAATCTGCCCAAATGCAGTTATTTTCTTTATTGATGCTTTGAAAAATTAAGAGAAAGCGAATGAAAAAATGAAGTGGACCTGCCAGATTTAGTAATAACCATTTCAGTACCACATTGTGAAAATTGGTCCCATAAATTTTTATCATCTAATTCAACTTTCGGATCATCAATAATACCATCATCATTAATATTATTAGCAGCATTATGATTTGTTATTCGACGTGTTATATCAGTTAAATCATTTGGTAAACGTGGAAAAAAACCCGTCGGACCGGGTAATGATGAGAATGATGGTGCTACTGCTGCAGCTACTGCTGCTGTTTGTGGTGTCGGCTGTGGTGGCTGTGATGCCACTGCTACTGCTGCTGCTGCTGCTGCTGCTGCTATTGCATGATGATGATGTTGATGTTGCTGCTGCTGCTGATGATGATGATGGTGATGGTGATGATGATGATGACTTGTTGAGCTATTTGATGTTGATGTTGCTGGTGATGATGTTGCTAATGCTGCATTCGGCGTCGACAAATACGTTGGAAATATTGCTAATTCAGGTAGACCTAGAAATGGATTGAACGACATCCCCTTTCTTACGGTATACGGTAGCTCGTCACAATGCAATTGTTAAAATATTAGTAACAATATGCAGTAATAGTAATAATGATAAAATAAAAGTAAGTAAGTACAGTAACCCAAAATACGGTAGCGGTGAATGGTATCAAAAAAAATTGTTTTATTGTATATATATATATATAGATATATAGATATAAAAGAGATGGGTTTAAAATTGCACCAATACGACACCAATACAACTGCCGAAATTGACACCTTTCAGCTTGTATTTATTAGAGAAATACGACGAGAGATTACGGTAAGTAGAGAGAAATCGAGAAACATACAAAAGCGTCTACTATATTTTAATAGAAGCGAGCAGTGATTGGTTAAGATTTTTCAGGTGGGTGTGGTCTCGATTGATGATAATTTGTGACAAAAAAAGAAAAAAGTGGAAAATTATAAAAATTTTTTTTGCTCGCGGATTTTTTAAGTTAGAAAAATCATTACCACTTTTACCTTTACACAGAAAAAGAAAAACTTGCGGGGGCGGGGATTATTAGAAAATGCGGGTTAAGGAAAGATGTCATGAAGATTCTAGACAAGTTATGTGGTAAAAACATTTGAAGAGCTGGAGATGGGGGTGTGAGAGGGGAGGGGGAAAGAAAAAGAAAAAATTGTGAAATTCTCCTCTTTGCTCTAACACCATTTCGCTTGTGTAACAAACACCATTCTATCAATTTTTAACACTTCATTTACTAGTTGATTTATTGTAGAAATTTGTTTTCCGAAAAGCATACTTTTCTCGATTTACAATAAATTTTTTCCTGGGAGAAAACCCTGCCTACCGCATAAAATTCTTTTCTTTTCAATTTAATGCAAATAAGATCTAATAATAGATACAAATAATAATGGTAATAATAATTTTCATTTACTTAGATGAAAAGCCCTAATTGTACTTCTTTTAAAAACATTAAATTTATTTATTGTTCTTTTCTTAAAAAAAATTTCTCTACAAAATTTTCCATAAAATTTATTTGTCTGATAAAATCTTTCAAATAATTCATTATAAAAAAAAAATGCCGCAGGACTTCTATTATTATGAAATTCTTGAAAAATATTTTTTACCGAATTTATTTTTATATAATCAGAAGACAGTTTATTTTTTAAGTAATTAAATAAAATCGCTCAGGCTCAATAATTTTTAAAAAAAATTGCGAAAATAACTTATAAATTTTACAAAACCCTACATAGAGAAATAACTTTATGTTTTAATATGCCTCTTCGTTCAATTAAAATAGCTGCTGTTGTTGTCAAGCGCGAAATATCGCCGCAGGGCAAACAAATAAATTATTGATATCTCGAGCACAAACTTTATTCTTTCCTTTTGCGAATTTTTTGGGTTCGTATCCCATATGCATTTTTACCAGTTCTTTTTTATTTAACCTATAACCATTGTCTTATCACTTAGATTCCTTATTTTGTCACTGGCAAATGCCATAACAGCAGGGACAGCAACAATAAATGATACGAAATTGTCAACTGTCATCTATCTCACAAAAAAGAAACGAAATAACAATCTTTTATCCTTAACAATTTAAAAAATTATTTGAAAGTTCAAGAATATGCAAAATTGGCAAATTAGACCAAAAATAAACCGTTGCAGGCAAAATTAATTTTTAAGTTTGTCAAAAAATTTTGATATTTCCAACATTTTTCAAATCAACTAAGTACACTCTTTCTAAATATCGTGTGGATATCGTCTGCTTGTCGGATATCCGTTTTCGGGTCTCGAGTAATTATTAAACCTAGCTCCGAGCAGAAGTACTGGCTATTTCACTGTGGTGATTCGGATAACTGGGGGCAAAATGGTGTAGCGATTGTCATGTCTGGCAAGGCCCACCATATAAAAATTTCTTAATTTTCGTAAAAATAAAAATATCAAAATTTTTCTAATAAATAAACAGGTGTAAAAATATAAATATACTAATACATATGTTAAGTGACAAAAGCAATTTTCGCAAACAACTGTTTAATCTTTCTTGTCTTAATTTTATATATTACCATTGAAATAGCAACAAAGAAATTTACCTCAAAACCAAATTCTTAGTGTTTATTGCCTCAACAAAAATTTATTGCTAACCACTTGAACATAACCATTCACTTGAGGTATTTGTCCTCAAAGTGTTCTCATGACTTCTTGCGAGTCTCTGAAAACTTAAGGACTTTTCGAAGCTACTAATATAACAGTAATAACACATTATAATAACAACATATATATCAATATATTTAAAATATTCTCAATTCTTAATTTCCAATTTGATAAATATTGAAAATTATAACCCAAATCAGCCAAATCTCTTATGAGATCTTCAATAATTTTATAGTGAATTTATATTGTGACTATAAAGCGAGATACGAAATTCAGATTGCCTATTCAAATATTTGTTCTTTTTTAAATTTGTACGATAAGTAATTATTTTATATTTTCACTACTATTTATAAGAATACCAATTAATAAATGTAATAAATCTGAATTTTCATCAATCAATTTCATTTTATTCTCATTCTGAACTGTTCGTTTACAAATTTCATTTCCAATTCTTTCTTCTTGCCAATCATCTTTACTTCCATATTCCTTGAAGTTTCCTTCATTAAACAAAATATTTTTTTGTGATAAATGATTCAATGATTTATCAAGTTCACGCAGTACTGCATAAATTCCTTTCCTTGACAAACAATCAAGACCAGTTCCTGTTGATATTAACTGAAAAAAAAACGCAAATTGTAAATTTTAATTAAGTATAAAAAAAGTAATGCAATAAACCTTCCATCATTTTTTGGTTTTTTGCCGATAAAAGAAAAGAACGATAATTATTTCTGAAAGGAAGGGGGGAAGGGAGGGGGAGAAAGAGATGTAGAAGTGTCAACATGTGTGGGTGATAGGATGAAAAATTGACATAAATGCGTGAAATTTCGAAAATAATAAAACTGGTTCGCTTGGTTGCCATCATATTTTATTAGGGTGTCCTTTTTCTCGCATCGGACTGTTTGGGTGCTTTATGTGAGATAACTACCCATCTCGGTGATGATGATAATAATTTCTCATCGATCACCAAATAATTATATATAAAGTCCAAGTTATTCTTCCCCTTAAATATATTGAATGGCGACTTGATCTTTTACGCGAGGAAATTCGATAAAATTATAAAATTCATTTATTCACAGCACATGCAAGATTTTCTACAATGATAACCACTTAGCGAGCTAATTATTAATTATCGTATCGCTAGATCAAACGAACTATAGGAGGTGTGTGACCTGGATGAAAAATTAAACGACAAATTAATATATGATTAATATAATTGTTAGATATGGCTAAAATTTCCTTTAAAAAAATTAATGTATAAAATAAGTCAATCGAAGGATGCATAAAGGAAATATGAAGGAAGAAATGAAGGAAAAAAGCGAGAAACGAAAGAGGAAAGAAGAGGAAAGAACATATATAACAAGAAGGGGATTATTAAGATAAGATATTTAAGTAATCGAGACTCTCGAAATATATGTTTACATAGTTGACACAACACTTAAATTCTCTACGGTAATTAGAGTTCGAGCTACTTAATACTTTAAGTTGTTTTCAATTTCGCCCGCAGTAAAGAAGCATCATCATCAAACTAATGAAGCTAAAACTAACTAAATTAAATAATTCTTAAAGTAATTTCTGTGTTAACCAAATCATTTCCTCGATTTTTCTACGGTTTGGAATAAATTCCAACTACCACATAAAGGTCAAGGGTCAACTTTTTCAGTAACTGATGACCAAATATACCGTTTTTATCTAATTTCAAATAATGTTGATAAATAATATTAATGTTGGTTTGCAAAAATTATTGCAATTAAACTGAACTATAAGAATCACGCAAAAAAGAAAAATAAAACAAGATTGTAATCAACCACAATATACCACATTAGATCATATTAGATCAAATATATATGAATATAGATCATGCTAGATCAATTACAGTGGTTATTAGATCAAAAGAAACAAATTTCAGTTGAAAAAAACGATGGAAGAGCAAATGTTAATATTATATAACCAGTTCTTAAATATTGCGAAGTTCGAGGTGAAGAGTCACACTTAAGGATTAGCTCTTCATATATATTTGCACCATGGAAATTTTTTCTTCTTTTTTTATCAGCTATTAAACGAAATAATACTTAAGAAATTTATAAATAATTAAAACAATCTGATAAACCTAGTTTTGTAAAAAAAATTCCAATTCTGGCCCACCATAAATCATCTAAATTTCCAACGATTTGGTAGAAAGAACCAAGAAAAAATCAAATCAAGATAAATCAAATCTCAGCTGTTTAACAAAAAACTTACTTTATAAATAATATCGAGCAATTTATTAATCAAAGAAAAATCCGAAATTCGTGTTCTATCGTAATATTGTAACTGTAAAGGCAACTTTTCCATTTCGTTGTCACTAAATTGATATGATAAATCCATTAATGGTTCAATAATTCCACAAAAATATTCATCATTATTCAATATTGTTTCATGATTCGCTGAAATGAAGAAGAAAAATATTTATTCACAGAGATATTAAGAAAAGTACCATTTAGTGAAGTACAGACGAACAGTCGCGAGTGTCATCCCGCTTTTTAATGAGCTTTTACTCTTATTAAGGCTCTTACAAGAACCTACAGCTAAGCTACAGCTTAAAAACAAAATTTACAAAATGAAATAAAAATGGCGAGTCTCTGCCACCATATGTTTTATATTCTTCAATATGCTGATAAATTTATGGTCGAATAAAACATTCGCGATTGCTACCATATTTATATTTTCCACATTTTTGCGTAATTCTTCCAAATTCTTCAAATTTCCCTTTCCATTTCTTTTTTATTAATTTTTTTCTCATAATTACTTTACAATTATTATGCGACTACAATAATAATATCCGAGTGATTAATTATCTCGACGGCGCTTACGATATACGATGTACGGACCGACGATATGCGACGAGTGGTTGAGCAATTACAATTCGAACTACGCGAATAAATCAATCTATTTTAGCATCGGTTCACCTTTTTTCCGTATTTCCTCACTTTTCTTTCCTTCGATTTTATCATTTCTTAAATTTTCATTTGGCGACAGTTAGTACAAGTAATTCGTCAGCACCACTCATTTCTTAAATAACAGGTTTACTACCTTTATCGAATGCGAATCCTGATGCGAGACGGTACACTTTGCGAGACGGTACAAAGCATCAACCACTCGTCTATTCTTCCAAGCGACTAACAACCTGGCAAAAATTTCTCATCTTACAAGTAACAAGAGCGAGTGGAGTGAACAGATGGTGTGCGTCAACCACTTTTACTTATTATTAATGAAACAATCCTTTTCTACATTCAATAAAACTTTCTACTATTGTTATTAGTCTTTACAACTAATTAGTTATGCTTGAACTAACTTTGTCTATAAGTCATCAAGCAATAAACTCAATCACCCGCACATAGTCAATCAAATAACAAATATTATTTATTAATAATTAAAGTTTTAGAAAAAACGCCAGAAAATTTAATTTTAATTTAAATTTTTTGCGAAAACAATTTTAACAAATTTTATTTTACTACAAAATCAAAATTATCCGATTAACTGATACAGTAACAAATAAAAAAGAGATTACAGCAATCGTTGAGGTTAATAACCCGAAAATAATTTGCTGTTGTCCATCCATTTTCGCATTTATTGTTTGCTCGCTGACTTATTTATATATAAGCCTCTAGACGAATTTTATGTGCAAATTTTCACACACAAACAATAGTCAATATCGCAGTACAACTTACTTTTTATATTTATTTTATTTACTTTATACTTTTACAACCTATTATACAGTATCCTAATGAGTGTATATGTTGAAGCTTACACCATAAGTGTAAAGTAAGAAATCAAGTAACAGATGAAGTTTCAAGTAAAAGTATGAAATTCATATATGGCGAATCAAGAATCTTAGAAACATGTGTTTTTATTCCCAAAGTGAACGCAGCTAGCAAACTCAGCAATGGTATGACCGGTTAGATGAAGTAAAAAAATTTTAATATTTTATAAAAAAAAGATAAATGAAATAAATAAAATTTAAAGAAAGAAGACTTCGATAGAGGTTATTATTGAAATTATTATTTATTATCATTATTATTGCTTATTTAGTCTATTATTAATATTGTTATTTTGATAATTAATCGGTTTTTTATGGCACTGAATCTTCTAACCAACTGTTTTAAAGTATCTAGAAGTTTAAAAAATTTAAAGTTTAAAAGTTTAAAAATTTTCAAAAAAAAAAGAAAGATCGGTGGAACTTTAATGACCAAAAAATTAGATTATAGAAATAAGCTAAACCAATAAAATAATAAAATTTCTTTTTGGTAAACTGTCGTATTATTTGCCACATTTTTCCAGAAAATGGCAGGTGCGAAAATCTATCGTTAAAAAACCGGATGGTGCTGCGGATACCTGAACTTTCATATGGTGTCCTACCAATAGCCAGTGGTGCGAAGTATGAGCAGAAATGGTGAGTGCCAATCATCTTTAATTAAGCAACTTTTCATCAAATAACTTCATGCATCAATTTATCAATTGATCAATATATTTAAACTAATTAATTAAACGATTCATTATAATTCGAAAAATTTCCTGTTTTTATGCAAATAGTAAAACGAGGAAAAAATCACTGAAATTTAAGATAAATTTTCTCGATCATCAAACATTACTTTACATCCAAATGGCACTTTTCTTAATGATTTCACTAATACACTCGTTTACCACAAAATAATTTATTACTAAAATAATGCAAAATATTTATTGCATTAAGTTAAATAAAAAAAACAATCAATATAGTAATAATTAAATATCAAACGTCACTGCGTGAAAAATGCTAATTTACACTGAAAGAATAAGTTAAATTATATAAATTATAATTTGATTGCTAATTTAATTTTTTTGAAAGAAAAGGACAAATAATTTTATGTAATGAAATTTTATTATATAAATATTACCTGAAAATATTAATTTTAAAAAATTTTTAATGGAAAACTAGATTTTTGCAAAAAACAAAGAAAATAAAGGTTGGAATATTACTTAATAAAAAAAATTTTTTTTCACCAAGAAAAGCACGATATATAAATATTCGTAGAAAATAGAATTTAAATCAAATTCAATTATCATGCAATTATTTAAAGGATTAAATGTCAAGTATTATTAGTTAGCAAGAATAATATTAATTATAAAAACCTCAAAAAATACAGAACCTTCAATAATCAGAAAATAGCTTTTTGAAGGTTTTTTTTCAAGAAATAAAAATGAAATAAAGAAATAATATAAATAAATTTTTAAACTTTAAATAAAAATCTTTAAATTAAAGAAATAAAAAAGTAGAAATATTTTATAAAATCGAAGAGAATTTTTTTGTTGATCATTAATCGAAATTGAAATCAATAATATTGACTTTAGAAAACAATAAAATTTCGTTTCTTACCGATTAATTTCTTTTTTATCGCTAAATTATATTAAACTTAAACAAAAAGGTGAAGAAATTCAGAAAACAAAATGGACTCGAAGAAATTAAGCAATTGTGCTAAAGAATAAACTAAAGAATGCCTATAAAATACAATTATAAAATCTAATGAATAAAAGATGATCGATTACGCCAAAAAAAAGAAAAATGAAAGACAAGGGAACCCAAATAAGATCTGGATAAGAGAAATAAAAAATAACCTGATAAATATTAATCAGCAATGGAGAGTGGAACTTTATAAATGAAAAGAATGAAGGAAAGTAGAACGACAAAATGAAAGCGATAAAGAAAAGAGAACAAATTAACTGAAAGGTGCATATACTGGCGCGTATATTGCTTATCAAAAATATCGGAAGCATTAAAAAAGCCGACGGCAATTTTCGCATTCATCGGCTTCTCTTTCGTCTCCTTATCTCTTTATCATCGATTATGACCACCGAACAAATATTACCGTTTTTTCTTAACACTTGCTGCCGGTTATTAAAATGACAACTAATGATCATGGAAAATTTATAAAAAATAAATTTTTTAAAAGTTAGATGATATTTTATTAAATGATATTTTAATGATATTATAATGATATTTATTAAATGATATTTTTCTCAGTAACATGAAAATTTTACTGAGCAAAAAAAGACGAATAATTTTAGACTAAAATTTTATATTTTCTTTGTTTTCCCATCCACCACTTTTCAAATTTTTTCCAATCTTCAATTCCGGAAAAAATAAAAAATAACAAACAAGAGAAAGACAGGGATAAATAGGAACAAATAGATCCTAAAATAAATATTCTTGAAAATAAACATTTAAATACAAGAAGAAAAAGGATTGCGAAATCTCAAGAAAGTGAATTCCTTGTATCAAATATTTTAAAAGAATTTAAAGTCAATTAAAAATCTAGCAAAAAAAGACAAACCTTGATAATGAAGAATATTAAATATAATATCCAAAGTGATAAATCGCCGTTTCAAATCATCACTTTGTGCAATTAATGGCATTATTTTTGACAAATAATTTTGGCAAATTTCTTCGCTTATATAAAAAATACGTGTGAAATTGACTAATGTATATCCAAGATAAATCACATATTCGTCAATTTTGATTTGTTTTAATAAATCTTCAGAAAGAAAAAAATTTATTTTATCAAAAATTATATAAAATTAAATTAAAGAAAAAACAAATAAGAATTTGTAATTACCTACTTTTACATCTGCTTAAAGTGAAATCCTATTAAAGGCCAAAAAAACCAAGAATGAATTATAGAAAAAATGGGTTGAATTATGACAAATGGAATAAAGGAAAAAATAAGATTACCGATAACATCGACAATAAAACTCGGCCACTGCTCGATTATAAGCTTATACACCTGAAAGAACTATGAATATAAACAGTAAACAGTGAGTTACGAGGTATTTCTTGGTTGCACGACCATTCAGAAAAAGATAACCCACTAGATTCCGCTAACTTCTTCTTTCCATTTTTCTTTCCTCTTTTCTCATTCTCCTTCCTCTTTTATACTTCAGAGTCGCGTTATTCGTGCTACTACTCTCAGTTGAATAAATCACTTGAATAAATCTCTGCCAAAAAGAATCTGTCGTCACAGCTAATATTATTTCGTAAAGCTATACTGTGGACCATCGAATAGTAAGATTATAAATGAAAAAAATTTAAGAATTAGGAAACACCTTTTATAAGGAACTAATAAACTGAGTTAAATTCAGTCTCTGCCCATTTCAAATTTCTTTTTCTACTTGTAACAGTTCATCATAAGGAAACCGGTGGGCGGATCTTAAAGACGCTCGAGGCTGTGGCGCAGACCTATATCGCACGTACGCATTTAAAAAAGAACCCGCCTAGTAAATGTAGGAAAAAAACTAACTTTATCGTGATGAAAATGCGAAAAATTAGATATTAATTTTGCAGCATAAAGAATGACTTCATTACTTTTATTATTTTTATTTCTACAATAACTGACTGAAATTGTAACGAAAATATTTCTGTCAATTAAACATTCGCAAACATCGTTATTTATTGATGAAATATTTATTAATAACGGATAAATTAACCGATGTTCATTGAAATTCACTTCGAAAATTTCACATAATAATGATAATAATTCATTATTGTTATACTGCAAATAAACTTTTATAAAAAAAAGATAAAAATAACGAGATAGTGAAATAATGCAGATGATGATAGCAAGTGGCCAGAATGATGATTTCTGGTTAATCTCGCTCCGCTCGCAGAAAATACTGCTTGAAATTTCTGCCGTGAAATCAAATTTTAACAGGTAAGTCACTCTGATTTTTTAAAGAGGTCTATGAGAGAGGAGTCGGACCCGAGTCGCTCAACACAATAATCCAAACCACAATTCATTCGGCTATACATTTCAACCCGAAGTGCCTAATTTCCATTATGAGAAAAATAAATGAACTCTTTCCGACCACTTTTTTTGCTTTAAAAAAAGAAGAAACTTCAAAATTACTAAAGATTTACTAAAGAAGATATCTACTAAAGAAGATTTTTATTAAATTAATATAAATTAGAAAAATTATCTTAAATTATTGAAATAAAAATAAGAAAACTAACATTGAAAATAATTTGAAAGTCATCATCGGTTGTTAAGGACGAAATAATTTCGATTGCTTGACGACGAATATCACTTCGAACTGTCTTCCGAAGAAATGGCAATAGTTCCTTCACCTTTTCTATGTCCTCATCGCACAACAGCTTCATTTACTTACAACAAGGAAAAGCCGAGATTTAATTTTAAATTTAGACTTAGGAAGCCGCGCTGCCTGCTAGTTATGCGGCATAAAAACGCGGCCCATATCATTGATGCTGCGGACTTTCTCACTGTTTTTCTAAAGATTGTCTGTACTGAAGGGTTTGTTTAAAACAGAGGATTTTGATGATTTCGGTGATTCGCTTAAAATATTTCTTAACGTCGAGTTCGTTAGAATTTATAGATTTTCACCAGATTTTTTTATTTTACTCGTATAATTGCTAATATTTTAGGAGCACTCGTCGCTTCTCGTTTCAGTTCCTCCACTGCCTATACGAATTAATTCTTTTACTTTATTCTCTTGAAATATTGCCAATAATTTATTTGTTACCTTCAATGCTCGACCTAATAAATTTCTTTTAATGACTCCGTAACCGTTTTCTATTAATAAAGTTTAGATTCTAAAAAGCAAGCAATACACCCATATACTTATAAAGCGGCCACCAGAGTGGCCATAAGCCGGTACAGCCGTATATTTATAAAGCGGCCACCAGAGTGGCCATAAGCGAATATTGCTTTCATATAAGTTTTGCCATTATGGTGCCCGTTCAGTGCGCTTTATTAGAATTAAATGTGCATTAAAGGTAGAATTCTGGCGATGTGGTAGACGTAATATTTGGTGCAACTAGTCACATGGTGATTGCTCTACTTAGATAAGCTATATTTAAGCTTAAATTTATGTATATGATGATCGATTCCAAATCCTTCCATGCATTTCAGTTGTGTTTATTTAAGGATAAAATGGTTTTATTTAAAAACAATTGACAATAATTTAAAAACTAAGACAGTCCGTCATATTAATTTAAAATTACTAAAATCAGAAAGCATATAATAAATAAAATAAAAATGATTGAACTACAGTAGTCACAACGACAATGCAATAAATGAATTATAAAACGATTGATTTGTTCAGCTTTAGCAAATAAAAATTTATTATTTTTATTTGTAGAATACACTAAAAATCGATGTAATAAAATGTTTATTCAGTAGTTTTTTTACTGTTTAATTGAAAACATTTTGTAAAAGAATGCGGGCAGCTTTTTTTCTTTTTAAATTTGTCGAAAAATGAAAATTTTGATGAAAATATTGAGAAATTGCGGTGTGGAAATATTTCACATTTTTCTTTTAGGGGGAAATTTTAATTCTTTTTCGAGTTTTGATTTCACTAGGAAACGGAGGTATTTTATTATGGAGGGATCATGAAAAAGAAGCAAGAAATTGATTCTTAGGAATGAATGCATTTCTCAGCGAGAATTATCGAGTAAGTTTACTTATATAAATAACCGCTTCTGTCCTATAATTTTCGGATTAATTTTGTTTAATTTTTGGATTAACTTCGACCATTTTATCCCTTTTATAGACTTCTAACCTCACTAAAAATATATTTTAAGGAAAATTTCCACTTCTCACCTTTAGCGTTCCTCTCCAATGGATTGTCTCTTCATGTTTCGTTCATTATTACTGCTTTACCGGCTAATAAATGACAGTCATCCGCGAATAAAATCAATTTTTTAAATCACCGAATGACGACTTCAAATGAAGACATCAGAAATTGGTTTTTATTTTTTGTTTATTTACTGAATTGGTTTTTACTCTTCGAAATATTTCATGAAAACAAATTGCGGATTTAATAAAAGCGCATAATTCACAGATTTCTTCGTTATAACAGATCTTAGTGATCACACATTGGCGTAATTTTAATTTTTATCATAACAACAATAGTGATTAAAATCAGTAATTACCGCCTTAAATACCAATTTGTGCCTAAATAATAATGATAAATAGATTGCGAAGAATATAAATAATATAATAATATTGCGGAATTCCTCCTCAATATCACATATCAATTACATTGGGGAATGGTTAAGTAAATAAATAGGCAGAATAATCGTCAATCGAACCAAACCTAATCCCTAATATTTAACAAACAATGGAAATTTTTCTCTTCAACAAATTTTTTCTTACGCAACGTAACGCAAATAATATTGCGGAAAGGATTTTTATTATTTTTCAGTAAAAAATCTTCGTTTACATAGTACATAGCTAATTTTCCTAAATAATTTTCCAATATTGTTATAGAATACTATTTAATTTCTTCCTTCATTAATTTTTTCCATTTTTTAGGGATTTAAGATATTTCGATCGACTTCAGTAGAGAAAATTACAGCAAATAGCCTTCTCTCCTCAAGGAACCAATAAACTCTTTATTATCGTCTCACTTAGAAATGAAGCAGAAATGGTGTGTGTTAGCTGAAAAATAGACAAGAGAGTTCAAAAAATGGCTGCGAAATCGGCGACTTTACGATTATAATAGTAAATAGTAAATTTGACAGTGTCGTCAGTTATCAACAAATTTTCTGTTTTAGGCATTTTTAATGTTTCAGAGAATAAATGAATAAAATAAATCGAAATGGGGAGGGGTGGTGAGGGAAATAATTTATCAAATGTTTATGAAATTTTTGTTGAAATTTTGATAAATTTTAGTGAATTTTAGCGAAAATAAAATGTTTCACTTCTGAAAATAGTTTTTAAAAAAGTCATTAATGTTGTGCAAATTTAATTTAATACAATTAAATAATTTGACTTGAAAAAGATCGAAAAGTTTTCAGAGAAATTAGGAGAACAAAAAAAATTTCACACAACAGGTGATAAAACTTTTCTTTACTTCTAACCTCAGTTTTTGTCTAAATTTTATTCTGATTCATTTTCATTCATGTTTAAATTTTATCGAAAATTTCACTTTAAATATTATTTAAATTTTTATTTTAATTGAGAGTTCGCATAAAGAGAATACAAAAATAATAAATACAAAATTGATAAAATTAATTAATAAAAATGATTTTTTGAAAACTAATTTTTTGACTAATTAGAGAAATTTCGACGCAAATGTGAATTTTAAATAAATAAAGGAAAAATGAAAAATTGTTTACGAAAATATTTTTATTATTTAAACATGGCAAAAAATCAAACGAATAAAATTTGTAAAAGTATATAAATGCATATACTACTAGTAGGTAGCATCGTATTTATTTAATCCATATATAAGCAGCGGTGTCTTAATAAATGTGACCTCTGAACCTTTGTGGTTGTATTGCCAGTACAAATAATAAATTATCGAAACTCGTCGGTATACTTAAAGGTCTTAAGTGTACTTTCCAGATAATCCACAACATGTAAACGATTATTTTCGTATAAAATTCCTGACCAAATTACAGATTTTCGATTGTAAAACAAATTTTTTAATAATTTATCGCCCTGAAATTGAAAAAACTTTAGTTACGCAACAAATTTATGAAAATGGCAAAATTTATTTTCGAATTAATTTTTCAGACCAAGCAGGCCTAAAATCGAATTTAATTACCTGCAAAATTTAAAAGTAAAACAAAGTTATTTTGCAATTCAAGTAACTGTAATCCAAAGATGAGAGAAATAAATTTTAAATAAAGGCAAGGTCGATGAGAATATGATTTGCAAATGAAATATCTGAAATATTTATGTTCCATCTAAAATTTACCACACTTGAAATCTGGATGATGGTGCCAAGCGAAAACAAAAAAAGTAGCTTTAAATATTTAATCAAACGAGAATTTAAATTTTATTGCAAAAAACCCGATAAAACGAACCTTAAATACCTTAAGCAATGATTGTCCTCGTACTGCAGCAATAATGTTATCGTTATGATCAATAGTTAAGCCCAATGAATAAGTTCCATCACCAACACCTATTCTGTCTTCAACATCTCCAGTTGTCTTTAATTCAAAAAAAAACGTATACTTCATATGTGGATTTCAAAAATATTGATCTCTCTTACTATTTTCCACTTTACTGCAAGTAAATAAGTAGTTATGCTCATCATTTTTCATTATTAAGCTGGCTTCACTGGTTGTTAACATGGTGAGCAGAACTGCTAGAAAGAGCCACTTGGGAATACATCCCCGGCACTATCCAGATTTTCCAATGATAGGTTTATTGTAGTTGGAGGTGGGATTGGAGCAGAGGCGCTCGAAAATGGTCCTGGGGAACAACTGTTCAGTTATCCTATTCCTATTAAATCATTTTATTAAATTAATTTATTAATTTAAATCGATTTAAATCGCAAGAATAAAACTACAAACATTTCAAACATTTTCATTAACATTTACTGTTAGCATAATCCATTTTATGTGCTACTTTCCGCATTATCAGAAACTAATTTTAAAAATAAATTAAAAAATTAGCTATGCCATTTCTTAGCATTATTTATTTATCAGCCACAATCCATACTGACTAGTATAACATAATACGAGAGAAATAGTTGGGTGACCACTGCTAAAGTTATCATATCGAGTATCTCTACTCTGCCCCATGTCGGAATAAATCTATTGTTGAAAATTTGGATAATGCCTGGAACTTCAATTCAAGTAACTCTTTGTCAAACTTTGTCAATCTCAAAAGTCCCACTAACAATCAGTGGATTTAAGTCATTTATATGTTATTCTTGCTAACATAAAAGCACATGGCTATCAAATTATTAAGAAAGAATTTAATGAAAATAAATAAGTAAAAAAATGAACAAATTTTACTGAAGGCATTAAACCACCATAAGTCCAGAAAAGTTTGCATCAAAAACTAGGCAAGAATGGTGAAGTTAAAAGAAATGATAATAAACGAACCGAATTTAATCTGGTAATGGCTGTTTGGCAACTAATATAAATATACTTTTTAAAGGTTATTATAAAATTGCAAGTTTCGTGTGATGGATTTAAAAAATGCATTACATACAAAAGTTTTAAATTTTGCGTCAAAACAAACAAATCTTCGTTGGATTTACTTAATACATAAACCTAAAATATTCAAAAATTTAATTTGTAAATATATGGATTTTGCTTTCTTTTTAATCCTTTAGATGTCTTGGATAGATAAATTATTTAAGATGCGAAGTAAATGCTCGTAAATGCAATGGGACCGGCCAGTTGCACCAATTTCTTTTAAATTACCCCTTTTTTTCTTCTCTACTTTTTTAATTTGGGAATGAATTTTAACAAACAAACTTTACCCAAAGTATTAACACCCAAAGTATTTAAAGCAATCTTAATTCAGTATAAAATTTAATGAAAAACCAAAAATTGTTTCAACATTAATCCATAGATCCATAGGATTCACTAATGATGTTGAGGACTTATATTTTAAGTCTTAGATCTTTACATATCTCTCGAGCGAGAAGAATTCACCTTAGTGGTCGAAAAACGTCGCAAGGTAGATAAAGGTAGATAAAGTTAAAGTTGTAAAGAAATTAGCTAAGAAGTAGAGGAAATTTCAATATTTAAATATCTTATCCCATCTACAAATTTCATACTCGACAATGTTTACGTATTTTTCTACGTAGTTAAAAAAACTACAAAAAGCAACTCGAAAATAAAAGCTATCTTTCTAGCATTTCTATCAAGTAACTTTGTGATAAAAAAGTTCCTAATGGTCAATATTGCTATATCTATCACCAATGTTGACTTTTGGTCCTTTTCTACTGCCACAATATCTAATTATTTATCTATATAGATGGAAAAGTCATAAAGGAGTTTGGTCTTATTCTTCTCCATGATTTTTTGAGGAATCTCCCATCTAATCTTGAGAGAGTCTAAGCCAAATATTCAAATATTCCTGTAAATGATGCCAGCTACTTGGTTATGCTTCAGTATATGTAATTTCTGCTTGCATTTTATTGCCATTATGTTTTTGCACAAACTAGATTTTGCATCTAGTGTGGTAAATCACTGGTTTTATGGATCTGATGCTTAGCACTGAGACATAACAACTTGTATATAAGATTATATATAATATGAATGTAAAGAGGAAGGAATATATAGAGAAAAATCCCAGAGACTGAGGTAGGAACTAGGGAAGATGTGGAAAATGAAGTTCAAGGAGGTCCCAGTAATAGAGCATTAGCCCTTGGAAAAATGGCTTAAACTATTCCAGAAACAATATATTAAAGATTTCTGTCCAGCAGAGGGTGCAGCTAAAATTAGCACAGATTTCTCATGCTCCCAGGCCTCTGGTGGAGGACTCGAGGATCTCTTATCGCTCATAAGAAGTGAGGAAAGAATTTTTTCATATATTATTTGCAAGGGTATATATGGGAATAGTCATTTTTAGTAACTATAAAATAAATGACTAACCTTATTATTATTATTATTATTATTATTATTATTATTATTATTATTATTATTATTATTATTATTACCATGGTCAATAGTAATATCCTTACAACGATTCGCTAATTCAATAAGTTTTATGAATTTCCCATCTCTATATAAAATTATTTGCGAGCCATTTATAGCAAATATTTTTCCATCATCTGTTACTGATATACGATCAATTTGCAGTATTTTCAACTTGAATTTTTTTAAATCATTCATTTCTAATTATTAAGTAATTAAATAACTAGCGCTCAGCATTTTTGTTTAGACTTGCTCAGCTGCTAATACGGTTGGAAATTTTTGCCAATGAATTATTTGAAGATAGATAGAAATATAGGAAAGTCGCCAGCACCTGGGTTTTTAATGGGGGATTTTTTTATTAAGGGAGAGTCTGAACTTTTCCCTATCAACAGGGTAATTTGACAGCAATCTAGCTATTATGCCATCTTGCCCTTTTATTACTAACATTATAGAAATTAATTTTGTAATACTCTCAGTCTAACTGTATACTTGATGTTTTCTAAAATAATACTATGAGGGAGATAATCATGTTTAACGACAATGACACGAATTAAATTATTAATTTTAACCTGAGTTCCAGTTGACGGCTCAATAATTTGAACTGTACTGTTAGATTTGGCGATATAAAACAAACCAGAAACTTTTGCAAGACCAATAATGCTCGTTGCTCATTTGCTCGTTTTTCCCAGTTTTTTTCCCGAATTAATTCTAATTTTTTTCTTGGTCATTTTTATTGCATTAGAATTTTTACCTATTTTGAATGCATTTGCTTCTCTATCAAATTTATCGAGCGGTAAATTTTCGCTTTTTATGCTTAAATCCATGAAAGGTATTCTGATTGATAGAAATGATACCAAAGATGTGGATTGTATAAATAATTCTTGATGAATTGCTACATTCAACATTTTTCTTTGTAAATTCCAGCTAAAACCGTTAAGCATTGATTTTTGTTGATTTTTTATTAGATTTCTCGTCCAGTTTGTAGGTTCGAGATCAACTGTAGTAGATGAACTATCAATCGTGTTTCCAGCAGTCACTTGGTCATCACTTATTATCGCAACTCTACCAGTATAAATAAGAATAAAATTCTTATTAGACGGAGCAAGAGAGATCACTTGTTGTGCATGACCGGTGTTTTCTTCAGAGACATTCTGAACGACTATGGATTTCTTTAGTATTAAAGATCTTTATAGAACTATTAAATTCATTTTCTTGAGATGTAAAGATCAAAATAATAATTAAAGTAACAGAAACAATAATAAATAATGAAGAAACAATAATAACGGTAGTAATAGCTGCCATAATAAAAATATTTATTAAATTTCTTATCATAAAATAATCTAATCATTATTTTATACCTTTTAAGGTCGGCAACCCTAAGTTCATCTCCTTGTTCATCTTCTTTTAATTCCTTTGATTTCCCACTGAACTAATTTTTATATTTTGTTAAATTTTCGAAAATTCAGTAATTAATAATTCAATTATGCAGCAAATTAAAATACATTTAAATCTCTTCTTCCAACAAAATAAAATAATTGCCTTTTTCATCAACTTATTTTAATATTGGACAAGTACTAAATGAATTTTTAAGTAAGGAAAGAAAGTCATTTAAAGGATCTTATTCGGTATTCCTGATTTAGGTGGGTTCATTAATTACTAAAATTGACCAACCGGGATCGAATCCTCTTCAGCTTCTCTACTTTCATTGAGGGACTGGAATCCAAACTAAACAGATTTATTCTTCAGCTTGCATAAAACCAAGACTTCATAGAACCTAGCGGAATTGAACCCAAGATTTGTCCTTCAGCTTTCATTCATTTCTTATTTCATTTAGTGAGTGAAATCGAATTCAGCTTTGAACTTCTCTAGTTCAAATGAGCCTATTTGCTGTTCATTTTTTGAACTTCTCTAGTTCAAATGAGCCTATTTGCTGTTCATTTTTTTTTGACTTGGATGTCTTGGAAGTTATTTGGAGTTATTTGAGTTCTTTTTCCCGTTTCCTTTTTCTTTTAAAAATCTATGATTGTTTAAGAATCAGCTAAAATTTTTGCTAGTATTTTATTGTTTAAATTGTTGTTGCTTACACTTGGTTTTACTCATATTTAAGCCTTTCACTATCCAATAGGATGAAATTTGTGCCAGAGCCAGATGAAAACAAAAGTATAGGTTGATTCCTAAGCCAGAAGCCAGAATAATCAAAATTTCACTCTTACCAAGGAATCAAACCATGATGCTTGAAACGATAAACTACGCCAATATACTACTCGATCATTCTGCCCAACAAATCGCTTACGATTTCAAGTATATGCGATCAGACAGCGAAACCCCAGAACTTCGCAAGATGTTCGAGAAAAATGAAAAGGCAGAAGAGTTCTCACTGGATTCAATCCAGCAAAGCGATATATCATTGGCGAAAATTCGATCAGTTCAAATCATTTCATTCCAAATTCAAATAATTTTTCGAAAATTGACCGAGGATCTGGGAGTACGAATGTCGGCTCCTTCTCATGGCAGTTCTCGTTAATTCGCCGCTTACTTCCAACTGTAATGTAATATTCCCCCGGTACACAAATAGTATTGTCGACTCGACTCATACCTATTTCTGTCACGAGGTGGCCCTCTCATAAAAATTTCTCATTTTATGAACAGACAACTAACCAATCAAAAATGAGGAGCACTGTTCACTCGTTTTTCTCTGGTACTTTTCGATTAACGACTGGAAATGTATGGAAGTTTCTCTCCTATCCCTCCTTATTATAACGTATATTTTGTAAATAACGGTACTTTGGTGGCTAACAAAAAACATGCGTTCAGCTGAATTTCAGCTGAACTTTTTTCTGACCACCTTTCTGAGCATTGATAAAACATTAGAAAGCGAATTCTCAAAGTTCCAGGCTTCAATTTGCATAGAAAGAATCCTCTAAGTTCCATTCATTATTTTTGAAAAAAGAGCTGACCGCGTTTTTCGTTGGCTGTGGCCGTGAAAGATTCTACAAAAATTTGGTTCTTATTTGTGAAAATTTATTTGAAAAACAAAGTTGGGAGAATTTTTTAAAAATTTTATTTTACGGGAATTTTACACTTTTTCCTCGATGGTGGAATTATTTCTATCATCAGTTGTTCAATGATTTTCCCACTTATTTTGACTTTTGCTGGAAAACTGGAAAATTTTCTCAGTTCATTTTGTTTAAATTTTATGATTTTAGCTAATTTATTTATCCAAAATTTCACTTTTGCTGACAGCTGCTGCGATTTCGTCCGTTCGCTGTTGCATTGCACCGAGGAGTTCTTCGTCGGAGAGTGGGAAATGGAAATATGGCCGCCGCTTCCACAGCGCCGCACAAAATTATCTAAATTATTTAAAAATTATTTGCTTTTTATTTGTCGTGTTTCTTTTCTTTAAGAGTTTTCACCATTACTGGTCAAACTCGCTCCGCAGGCTTTTCGCATTGGGCAAATAAGCCAGAGAATCTGTTGACGATAGAAATACAGGTGAGTCGACGGCATCACCCGGATTTCTGAACAGATTTACTCCTGCGGGGAATCGAACCTCAGCATCGGCGCTCCGAATTCAGCAACAACCCACTGAGCCATCATTTGTCGTGTTTAAGCTCTTATTATTATGATTCATTTGATGTATAGATCTTAATCATATAGTTTTTCGTATTTTATTAATTTAATCGATGTATTTTTCTCGATGATAGTTTAAAAATTTCAGCGAATAATTTCAACTATCTTTTTGAAGAAAAATTTTGAATTTTATGGTAATTTTGCTCGGTGAATTTTTTTAGGTTTTCATTAGATAAAATAGAATTGTTGCAAAACATAATAATGAGTTGCTCAGAATCACCATCGTCTTCATCTGAAGAACAAACAATCACGCCTGAAGGTTTCTCATTTTTAATTTCCATCTGCAAAATTCTATGGTTTGAAATTATTATTTTATTCTTTATCTTTCCATTGGCTAAAAAAATTGATAATGGTTTTAACGTTATTTTCTAATACTGCTCATCATTGCTGGTTAGGCTCGATCTGATAGCCTATCAGGCTATGGAAATACAGGAGAATCGCAACCACATTTCCATTTTTAAAAGGTAGATTTATATACCTAGCGTGGAATTCCAATATCGGCGCTCCGAACTAAGCGAGAACTCATTTTACTTAACGCTTGCTTTCGCAATTTGGCGAAATTGATATATCGGCCAGATTCGAGCTAATATCGTTTCTTTGTAACATTTATCACGCCGTTAACCCCCCACACACCTCAACGATTAAAATTAAAAATTAACTTAATTAAAATTAATTAAGTTAATTTTTCAGACGAAAAAGATCGAAGAATATGTCATTTGAGTTGTCTAGTTACAAGCTGTACTCTTTGTACTTCTACGAGGTAAATTTTTTTGTCGAGTTTTTTTTTTGTTGTGATCTGGTGTGAAAGAAAATTCCAGTATTTGCATCTCATTCTTGACTATAACGAACTGGATTTGTTTAATATATAGATAAAAAATTATGAGGCTACTGAAATAAAAATAAAAGGTTCGAGAGGAAGGAAAAGAAAAAGCATGTGAGCTTAAATGAATAATGAAAATAAGTGGTTAGCTCTCACCATTCCTGATTAGAATCGTCTCACTAGATGTTTGTTCCGTAAGAAATTATTGTTACCTGACAATCACTGGGGAATATGGGCGAAATATGGGTCATCGGCATCGCCAGTATATGTTGAAAACTAATGAAATTCTCAATCCAATATATATATCTTAGTGCCTTGTGGCTTCAATTTCGTTCTTACAAATGAATATCTAACTCTGCAGCCACCGTCCTCTTTATAGTAGTTCACTAGGAAACGATTGATATAGGAAATGTTCTACTGGGAGCTTATATACGTTTTGAGATGGGTGAGTAAAAGATTTATCTCCTTTTCTTTATCGTTCATTTTAAGGAGATGGAAGATGTTATTACTGTGCCTCTGACTAATGAGCTATTCTGCTATTATTCTATAATATTTTATTTTATCTTCTTAAATTAAATCTTGCATTCTTTACTTTCTCAATACTTTTGCTGGGGAGTATATTGCAGGCGATGCGAATGCCCAAATTTATATCTACCTTCGTTATTCGGTGACACCATATTTTTTAAATCCCTATTGGAGACAGAATCCAAATTCCTGCTTATTACGACAGTCTGAACAACATCCTCTCGATTATCTGCATTCTAACCCCAACAAGCGAATATACGAAAATTTCCTAGTTTTTTTTTTAATAAATAGTTTATAAATAAATAAATAGTTTATAAATAGTAATAATTTGTGCTTACTTATAGCTTACTTTTTGTTAAATTGCCTTATATTTTCGTATTATTGAATTATTAGTCATGTAGTCATACATCGCTTTGCTTATCGTGATTCCCTCCTTCTTTTCCTTGCAGAACTAGTAACAGTTCTGATTTTTTTGGCTATTATAATCTCTCTAATTCGAGAGGAAACCATTATTTTATGAATGAACCATTTTATTTTACCTTTTCTATGAATTTTACTTGCGACGAAAAATTGGATTCTGTGCAGCAAGAAAGCAATCAATGGCTAGATAAGGACGAATCTTCTCGATTTGTTCAAAGTCCGGATAAGGCTGTCTGCTGCAGGATTGAAAGCTGCAGGGCTGCAGCTTTTTAAAATATGCAGAAGACTATAATGAAGAATTTGGAAATAACCCATCAGAAAGAAATAGTCCATTTACTTATTGTCAACAGAAAAGTCCCATCATTTTACGCGACGACTCCAGAGCACGCATCGAAATAATCATATTATAAAAATCAGTGGAGTTAAATATCGAAGTTTCTCTCATCTGTCACCCTCCACAAATAGATTTCCCCTTCATCCGCTCTTTCAATTTTTATCAGAATGAAGTACTTTCGAAAACAGGAGAACTTTGAAAACGTCTTCCAGCAGTTCATTTGTTTCAGAAGGTTGTGTGTCAAAAGTTCATTGTAATGGTGCTTATTTTGAAATATTAATTTTAAAAATATTAATTTTCATTAAAGTTATGGTCTCTCCAAAGTTAAATGATAAAAATTGTGGAAACCTTTTGTCTGGTCGAATATTATCAAATGAATATTCTTATCATGAAATTATGTTTATAAATGTTATATTTATGTATTATGAATTACATTTGTTTGAATTTGTTTTAGCTATACGAAATGTTATTACTGGTCAATAGGTGGCAGCCGAGTGGATATTGGCCTATAATAGGTGTTGAGGTGTTGAGAGGTAAGAGTTCGGTTCTTCCTTACCCTCGATAAGAGTGAAGTCCTTATTAAAAATTTCTGGCTGTGCTGAGGGCTCATTTTTATTTATGTTGTCAGATGACAAAAATTTCTGATCGTACTAACAGTTGTCATAATTAATCTAAATATAAATGGTAAGCATTAAGCACTGCTAATTAGTGGTTGAAAATTTTGGTTCATGAAGCTTAGTGTCGTATTAATACATTCAAAAAAATTTAAATACTTTAAAATTTTCCAGTTCTTATTCAAAATTAATTTCTACACCACAACCATTTCTTCGACCAAGTCTTTTTTCTAATGTTCCACCAACAATTCGATTCTATGTAAAAGGCAGCAGAGGTTAGGAATCATTTTTTAATTTGGTAAGCAAAACTTCTAACAATTATTACTGGTTAGGCTGGTTCCGCTGATTGCATAATTTCCAAGCTACGCAATCTTATGCCATTTTCGACAGTAATAGAACCCATTCTCTAAGTCCCTACATTGCTAGTCCATTTATACTTTCAAAGTTTTTCTTGATATCTGTATTCAGTGCAGGCCTTGATTGGTCCACCTCGCTTTTGATTCCACCCATCACATGATTTAGCAAGTAGCGAAATATGTGTTAACTCTTGTGGTGCAAGAATAATGAAGAACGTGTCGTAACCAGTGACACTCTGTAATGGTACTGTTAATGCAAGTGGCAATCATATGAGATTTTATCCACTCGGCGAACCATTATCTTATAGACATGAGTAGTCAAAGACAGATAATTTCTTAATATCTTCCTTTCCCACCAACCATGTCTCGCAATCATATAGCAAAGTCGAGCGAATCGCATTATGTAGACGAGGATTTATAGCGATTTCGCGACGGCTCCATAAAGGTTTCGTCAATCGGAAGGACCTGTTTTTAGTTATCGTTATAATTTTGTTTTCTGGCCATTCGATATTAGAGTGGATCCAAAGTCTAAAATCTGGCATTTCCTCAACTGGCAATGAATTTATAAAAATAGCTATTTTAATAGGTCTTGTATATAAAGACGAAAATATTTTCGTTTTTCATTGACCCTGAGTCCGATTCTCACTGTAGTTGTTGACACATAATTTGCAATTATTTGCTTTTCATCATTACTATCAGCAAAAAGGACTTCATCATTAGCGTATTCAAGGTTTACGATATTATGCTGTGGATTAATACCACTTGCATAAATAATGTTATCACAGAGCGTCGTCTTCGCTGGTTAGAGCACGTTCTCCACCACAGGAGTTGACGCATATTTCGTTACTTGCTAAACTGTGTGATGGTTGGGTTGTCAAAAACGAGATGAACCAATCAAGATCTGGGCTGATCTGGGCTGGGCGGATCTGGTCAGAAAAGATTTTGAACGTATAGGTAGACCAGCAATATATGGACTTAGACGATGGAAAAAGGAATGGCTTCTATTACTGTCGACGATGGCATCAAACCATGCCGCTTGGAAGAATCTTACTCTTTTAGCCGTTGGAGCCAGCATAACCAGTAATGATAAAAGCTGTTAGAAGAAGAAAAAGAAGTTTTTATTATCGCCTAATCGAATGTGCTTTTAATTTTCAATTCTTAAGAATTTTCGGCCCAATAATAATTTCTGTCTCGCTATGCCGCTGTAATTCTTCGATAGTCAGGATCTCCTACTCTTCTGCTTTGGTAGGCTTTTCAGATAGTTGGACTGTTGGCCCTCCGATAACCCATTTCCTGCTAGTATATTCTAGCGTGGAAGTGGTAGATCTTCGGAGACATACCTTTAATTGGAACCAGCATTCATCTGCCGTTCCAGAAAGGTCATTTGTACCATTGAGATGCTTCAAAAATTTTTGTTTAGAATCCACATACTGTCCCTGAATTTTTTTAGTTTGAGATAGTTGAAAGATTTTGGGAGATGTTGTTTCGAGTTTATATATCTTGGCTCGAACCATAACATGGTCAGATTCATGAAGGTTGCCCGTTTCAGTAACACGATAGAGACGACTGTCTAATACGAAACTCTTCCAACGATTAAGATATAAACAATCTAATCTGGTTTTCTGAGGAGTTCCACATGACTAGATTTCTTTTACGATGCTGGAAGCATATATTAATTATTTCTTCTGTAGAGCGAAGAAGGCGTTCAGCATTTATAAACTGGACTTCCATGCCTTATTTGTCAATTGGCAAAGCTATATTAAAAGATAGCGCTATTTTATAAATTTTTTACGGTTTCATACATGATCGATTTTTGATATTTCAGTGACAAAGCCATCTCGTCATATTCGATCTAGATTATTGTGGTGTCATAATAGTTTATTACCAGTTGTTATTCGTCAGTGTCTTTCTACAAGTTATTTCACTATTGTTGATGAAACAAATCGTTGGATAGGTTACTGGGGCCGACATCTTCGTTCAACTCAATACCGAAGTGTTCTTCCATATCAAAAAGTATTTCTTCATCTTCATTTTCTAATAATTCCAAATATTACTATAATTTTCTTTCCCTTATTTCCAAAAAATCTCTTACTTGTTGTTCTGAATATTATTGTTGAAAAAATAGATTTAAATTTTATTTTATTGAATTTTAGCGAATTTCTTTTCCTAATTTTTTTATCCACAGTTTATTATAATTTTGAATTTCAATTTCATTTTAAGAGGACAATCTTGTTGGATAATTTTTGAGGGAATTTCTTTAGCGTGGATTGGAATAAATCGATAAAGCAAAGGTTAAACATATCGAAATTGTAAGAAAGTATATAATGGAAAACAATTAACAAAAATTATTGTATAATTGTATTTTTAGAGGAAGAATAAGCAAAAAGATATGAAAATGGCATCTAAAATATAATTTCTTTCGAGATAATGATTTTGATGAAATCTTTCTATACTTAATTTTTTCTAAGCCTAAGTCCCCCAGACTGTTAAAGTCAATATGATCGGTGCTAAGTTATTATTGTTCGATTCAAAATCGAAAAAAATTATTGCCAACTTTGAAATAAAGAACGGAATTGAATTGAACGCTGGGTTACGCCATTTCTCACAAGTTTTGGTTAAATAAATCTATGTCCGATTTTGCGGCATAGACGAAAATTTTATAAACTGAATCTTGAGACAATCCAATATGATGCCTTCATCATTGTTGACCAAGATTGGCTAGAATATGATGTTGATGAAAAACGAATTATTTAAATCCAGCGAATTATGAAACGAAGAAGCAGAGTGGCTTTTTTCACATGAAATACGCATATTCCTAATAAACAAACCGAATATAACTAGGCAGATAAAATTATTTCAATAAAGAAAGAATTCACATTAAACGTGTCGAATCTAGAGAAGTAATTCTTGTGTGGCCACTTTTGATTCACGCTACAGGGAAAAGTTAGAATGAAGATGTTGCATATGTGGGGCAATAACATTAACTGGGTTGGTGTACCATTTGGGCGAAAAACGTTCACCAATCATTTTAAAATGAAATTTCGTGAATTTTTGTTCGTACGACAATGATACATAATTCATCATTTTTGAGCAGTTACGTAGCGTTATCACGATTAATAATATCCAAACATTTTATGTTACTCTTGAAAATGATTCAGCACATTATCATTGTCAAAAAAAAAATTAATATTAATGGTCCATTTGTGAGATCAGTTTCGTAGACATTTTTTAAATCGTTTCGTAACAGTGGACAGAGTGGATATTGACGGATTTCATAGATCAAAGAGAATCGTCAATAATTTTAAAATCAATCATTTCAATCATTTTCGTCAATCATTTTTAAAAAGTCAAAATTTTAGCGCTTATTAGGTGTATCTCACGGATAAAGTGTTATAGCAGCAAGATAACTTCTCTCGAAGACTTAGTTGAATGACCTGAAAGACATGAATACATCTGTTCAGTTTTAAACGTCCTATTGTTCCAGCTGAAGGAGTAAATGGGATAGAATGGTTCAATTGGTTGTTGCTGAATTCGCGCCAATGCTGAAGATCTATTCCCTGCAGGAGTGAACTTGTTCAAAAATCCGGGTGATGCTGGCGACTCACCCATATTTCTATCGCCAAAGGACTCCTTGTCCAGCAGAAAAGTCAGAGGAGCGAATTTAACCATTAATGGCTAGGACTCAAAAAAAAAAGAATATATATTTCAAATATTAACTCTTCAAATGAATAATATAAATTTGCAAATTCATTGGTTATTAGTTGTAAGCGCTGTTGTGGAAATGTGTTTTTTAGTATATCGTGAAAAAAGGAAGAAAAAAAAACTCGAAATCCTGTTGGCAGTTAATTATATTTCTCTTAATCAGATATATGCAGAAATAAGTAATCAGGCTTTGCTGGCGAACATCATTGAGGCTGTGGCGCTTCTTGATCCAGTTGGACAAAACTTGCCATAAGCGAGGATTTAAAAGTTTCTTCGCAAGAATTGCTCATAGAAACGACAAGATCATGAATTCATTCGTGCAGTCGAATTTATTTCATTTGTCATAAGGCAATTGTTTTGTATATAAGGAAATGAGATTCGAATGAAATTATTTAAATAACTTAACTTCTGTTATCCCAGGCCTAACGTGTGCATTGGTGTTTTGAACTCTTTTAGTGATTTTTATCAATTAAATTAACTTTTTATGGAAACCGCCTTTTTTTACTTCAGAATTGCAAGAAGTTTCACTTCTATTACACAGATTCGATGCGTGCGTTTTTTTTCTTTTTTCAGGTCAACCATTTTCCTGGTGCATTTCATATGGGAAGAAAAGATCGCCTTTGGCAACATATAAATGAAATGATCTTGCTTTGGGGTATAGATGAGTATCAGTTAATGCCAACTACATATATATTACCTTCTGAATATGCTAAATTGAAAATATATCTTCGACATTCTCTGCGAGACGTTATTGTCAAACCCGTAATTGTTTTATATTGTGTTATGTCAGACTATATCCTTTTTTAAGTATAACATGTTATAGAACTATGCTGAAAGCTCATTGCTTCTTGAGATATTATTTTATCAAAAGGTAGTTAAGAAGTGCCTGTCTAAAATGTTGTATACTTTTGACTGTGCCAGTTTTTGTTACGATGATGATATATTGATTGATATATTGCAGCCAGCTTCGGCCCGTGGCACTGGTATAACCATAACAAACCAAATCAAAGAAATACCCGAAAAGACCTCGCTTATTGCTCAACAGTTTGTTTCTTCTGAGATTGAGATGCCTTTTCAATTCCTTTCTTTTTAGCGAATTTCTTTTTTATTCCTTCCTTTTTTTCCTAATTTATCTATGTGGAATGCCTTTTACTGTAGTGTGGTATTTTTGTATAAAATTTCTCATATTTCTCATATTTTTTCCATGCTTTCAGTTATATTGAACGGCCATTAATCATAAATGGTGCGAAGTTTGATTTACGCCTTTATGTTTATATTACTTGCCTTGATCCACTCCGAATTTATTTTTATCGCGATGGGCTTGTACGTTTTGCAAGTGTACCGTATGTTTTTTTACCATTAGCTTTCTTTTTATCCTTTTTTCTACTTATGAGCTGTGAGAATTAAAGTAGATATTTATCATATTATAATATATATCACAATAAATAAAAAGAATTCTGATAGAATTGGAATAAAAAGAATACATATTGAATTAATCATTTTTAAAGATTTTTATTTCTTATCATTGATTGCAATTAACGTTTCTAAAATTTGCTTTTTTCAAAAAAAATATATTTTTTGGTGTAATTACGATGAAATTATATATGTGGAAATTAGTAATAATTTCACTTATCAAAAAAAATTGAAAACAAAAAATGCTGTGGAAGAATTGTTAAAATTTCGTATTCTTCTTCTAGCTCTCACCATTACTGGTTAGACTGGCTTCACTGGTTACAAGGGTAAGACAAGGGCAAGGGTCTCCAAGCTGCTCGCTCCGACATCGCTAGTAATAAAAGAAGCTATTCCTTTTTCCATCGTCTAAGTCCATATATTGCTGGTCCACCTAAACGTTCAAAATCTTTTCTGACCGTATCAGCCCAGATCTTGATTGGCTCATCTCGTTTTTGACGACAATCATCACACAGTTTAGCAAGTAACGAAATATGCCTGTGGTGGAAAACGTGCTCTAACCAGCGAAGGCGACGCTCTGTGATAACATTATTTATGCAAGTGGTATTTGAATGAAGATGGATGAGATCATCTGATATTTTATCCACTCGACGGACTCGTAAAATATACCTTAGACAAAAGTGGTCAAAGATAGATTGCTTCTTAATATCCTCCACTCTCATTGGCCATGTCTCAGAACCACATAGCAAGATCGAACGAATCGTGGCTATGTGGACGCGGATCTTCGTCTTTATGGTGATTTTGCGACGGTTCCTTAAAGGTTTCATCAACCGAAAAAACATTTCTAGCTGTCGTTATCCGGGTTACAGTTCCATCCTTTGCCTGGCCATTTGGGATTAGAGTGGATCCAAGATGTTTAAAGTTCAGCACTTCCTCAACCGACAATGAATTGATAAAAATAGGTATTTTATCAGCATCTTGTATATAAGACGAAAATACCTTTATTTAAATTGATTTTCAGGCCAATTCTCGCTGCAGTTGTTTAACATTATTTGCATTTCCTCATAACTGTAACCAAAAAGGACTACATCATCAGCGTATTCTAGGTCTGTGATCTATGTTTTGGACTAATTTGCATATCTCTTGAGTGATGCCCACTATTCAGTCTATCGCATAGTTGAATATTGTGGGGAAAAGGACGCAGCCCAAATGGACACTAGTTTTTAATTCAAAGAGTCTGTTAGTTCCCCATATACTTGCGCCAGGGTATTCTGATAAAATGCCTTTATAAAACAAATGATTTTCTCTGGCACACCGTCATTCCATCATTTTCCAGAGCAATGCTATCAATCGAATCGGCTGTAAAGTCGATGAAGTAAGTTACGGGTAGGTTGCTGGTATTTGAAGCGATGTTCCAGGACCCTTCTTAGCGTAAATCTGGTGAGCATAATCGGATCCCGGTTTGAATCCAACCTAGTTAGGATGCATTCTGCTATCTCATGTTGGCCATGAGTCGATAGCAGAACGGAAGCGAAAATTTTTCCGGAGATGTCCAGTAGGTCGATTTGTCGGTAATTATCGCAATTGGTCCTGTCACCTTAGGAATTGGAAATAGAAATGCTTTGCTCCAGTCTTCTGGTATTATTTCCTTCTGCCATGCTAGAGAATACGTTTGTTCAAGGTGAGTTATGAATGGTGATGGATAACATTTGAAGAGTTCGGCCCGAAGACCGTCTTCTCCGGAAGTTTTATTAGCCTTAAGCTTATGGATGGATTATTTCTTCTTCTGTTGACGATTCGCAGTTGCAAACGTTTGGCTCAACGTGCGAATTAGTTATATTCGGGATAACAGATGGCACATCGTGGTTAAGTTGGCCTCAAAAATTTTTTTCTATCTTCTGAAGCGATCCTTAACAGCTTTAATAGGCACTCCATTAATATCCCGTATCCTTTCACTAATCTCTTTTCGAATTATGGTTACTTCGCGAAGAAGGCGAAACAGTTTCCTATTATTATCTATCCGAGCCACCATCTCCATTTTCAAGGCCATATCGCTCCAATAGCGATTACTATCCCGCCGTGCTGCTGTTGTTGTAATTCTTTGAAGCACGCGATAGTCAGGACTTTTTGAGATTTGGCAGCTTCTTCAGACAGTTGGACAATTGCTTCCGACACCTAATTAGCACACTTCTTACTCCTATACCATAATGTGGAAGTGGCTGACTTTTGTAGACTTTTGCCTTTCGTTAGGACCAATATTCATTCGCCGTTCCAGAAATGTCATTGATATTTATCGTTCCCGGATCTTTTAATTTGAGATAATTGAAAGATCTTGGAATACACTGTTTCTTACGACTTGTCAGTTTCATACGAATTTTGGCTCGAATCATAACATGATCTTATCCATGGCGATTACTAGTTTCAGCGCTTCGATAAGAACGATTATCAAGTACAGAAGTACTCTTCCAGCGGTGAGTGACTAATATATAGTCAATGTGATTAGAATATTGGTTGTACGAAGAGTTCCACGTGATTTCGACTAGATATTTCGTCCGATGCTAAAAGCATGTTTTAGTAACAAAGAGTTCATGCTCTTCAGCAAAACAAAGAAGGCGTTCTCCATTGATGCACTGAATCTCGATACATATTTTTTTGCAGATTTTATTTTTTTCTAAACGGTCTTGTTCACTTTTCTCTTTTGTCGATGGTTAATGCCACAAATATTTTCATACTCCTATCAGTTCATTTCAGTAATCGCAGTTAATCCCTGTGAATTTCTTTCTCTTCATTGGTTTTGATGTCATGTGTATATTGCACGGAAGCACAATACTACATATTGAATTTATCATCTTTAAAGATTTTTTATTTCTAATCTTTTTTTATCCGTCCTAGTCTTTCATCAAATGAAAAAATAGTGCATCATGAAAGTTCAGTAGTGGTAATGAAATTTTTTCACCATTTCATGTTGGAATTAATTTTTTGTTAATATAATTTCATGTCATTGTATTTCTTTAAATTTTAATTTTTTCGATATATTTTGCTGTATAATTCTTCTATATAATTCTTTTTATGTCATTTTTGCGCAGCCGTTCTTACCAGCGTGTAATTCTCTTATACAATCGTTTTTTTATCTAAATTTTATCATTTCCATTCGTCCAATTTTATATTTTATATTTTCTTAAAAAATTAATATTTCAGTTATTCGTTTTCAAAAAATACATTGGATAATAAATTTATGCATTTAACAAACTATAGCATAAATAAATTAGCACAATCGAATGATCAAGGAAATCCAGTTGTTTTAAAATGGAAACTAACGTCATTGTGGCAACATATCGCTGAATACGTTGATGTAAAAGTGATACAACAACGCATTATTGACGTTATCATTAAAACTGTTATTGCGTAAATTCTATTTTCTTCTTGTTTATTTAATTTATTCTAATTTATTCTATAATGGTTAAAATATTTTTATATTATCTATATATTTTAACTTTCGTGCAGTAGCTTGCCGGCGAGATTTTCGTTTTCTTTAGAAGATTAATAGTAAATGCGAAACATTCCTTGTACTTGCTTATATATTGGTTTTTTAGTTGCGAAACACCAATAAGAAAATATCAAAAGAAATTCAGTTTATATAGTTTTACTTGTCATGAATTGTTTGGAATGGATATTCTTATTGATGATACCTTGCGGCCATGGTTGCTTGAGGTTAAAATAGTTCAGCTTCAAAATATTTCAATGATTTAGAAAATTTTATAAGAACCAATAAGATATAAAATAAGATAAGATATAAAACTACGAAATAAAAATAATTTTAATTCATATTTCCTCACTGAAATTAATTTAGGTGAATATATCACCGTCGTTACATTCCGAAACAGCACTTGATTTCAATATTAAGGCGCCATTAGCGAGAGATGTATTAAACCTTTGTGGTGTACAAGTACCTTCAGTGAAAAAGTTTGTCTTTTTACTTCTATATGATTCTGCTGGCAATTTTTATGCTATTAGACAAAAAAGTTTCGGTTTTATTTCAGTCATTGAATATCAAATAAATTTGCAGAATTTTCCAGAGTTCCAGAGTTTTAAATTTTTATTTAATTACAGTGAAAAAGAAAGTCCATTAGTGATCAATTATGGAGTTAAACCCCATGACAGGCATAAAACAGTTCATGATTTAGAAAAAGAAAGGTTTCATGTCGAATATTACAATAAAAATAGGGTTCGCCGATTAATATTTTTGATTATTCAAGTTATATATATATATATGTATAGTTATATATCTTGGCATTTTAATTTTTTATTTGTTAATTTTTCTGCCTTTATTCCATTCTGTTTGGAGATTTTTTTCTTTCTCTAAACCGAAATTTTTATTTCAGAAAATTGATCCTTCAATAATTGAAAAACTAACGGGCTCAGATGTTCGTATCTTAATCGATTTTGAAGACGAATTGTTGCGTGCAGGTGGATTTACATTAATTTTTCCCACAGTTAATACTATTGGCTATCTGAAATACTTCAGTGAACCAATTTATTCGAATTTATTGCTTACGCAGTGGCAGATAGAACAATGTGAAAGCGATCGACAAACTGGTATACGATCTCTTGAAGAATTTTGCAAACGCGGTGATCATTTGTCAGAACTGTCGGATGAATTTACCTCCTCTCTTGATTAAATTTCAAGATGCGGTAAATATATTTGCTTTTTTCACCTAAAAGATTGATTTTTTATTTTTATAGATTTTTCTTTCAACTTTCATTGTTTCAATAGTTTTTCAGTAATTCGTTGCAATAATTTATTATTGCAATTTAAATTTCTTTGGATAAAAAAGTAGTTTAAAGTTTTTTTAAGATTTTTGCTCTTCTTTTTTTACAACTTTCTTCTCTTTTTGGATGATCAAAATAGAATGAATCGCGCAAATCGATAAAAGCCTTATTTGTCTTTTATTTTTTATTTTTAAAAATTCTGGTATTTTATAATTCTGCCGCATATATTTTATGCAAATTTTTTACTTACTTATTTTTCATTTTTATTAATTAGGGTTATACTTTTGTGTGCATGCTGAAGAATTGATTCATCGTTATTGATTGGAAAAATTTTATTCATCAATGCTTTTCAGAGTTCTAATGAAAATAAGATTTTAATGAAAAAAGACACTGATTTTATTAGAAATAGTAAAGGTGGGAATTACTATGATGAGACGAGAAGACTATGAAGACTAGAATAAGACCAGACTAGAATATTAAAATGGTAATCGCTTCATTTGATTGGAATTAGAAAATGGCTTAAAATGAATTTTTTTTTGAAAATATCGTATGGTTTTTAGGGTATAAATAAAATTACATTCGTAAAAAATCTAGCAGGATTTAGATACCGACGTTTTATTTTGGTTCTTCACTTTGTGCATCCCACATATCATAGTACCATCCCTTTTTATTAAGCAGTTCTATATGCCTGTAAATATATCGCTTTGAATCAGTATTATTGTTGTGATTCTCTATCATTCCAGTAGATTGTTCTGATTACATATTTTATTTAAAAGAGGCTTACGTCCCATTCTCAATGATTCTTCCTTCGTCGAGAACATATATTTGATCAGCATTAACAATCGTTGATAATCTGTGCGCAACAATTATTGTTGTTCTACCTCTGCTAAGATTTGATAAACACTTTAATATGGAACGTTCCGTTGTGGTGTCCAAAGCAGATGTTGCCTTAACTTTTTAGATTTATTTTACTCCTTAACAAGAAGTAAAAGTTTTAAAGGAAAACTTTAATTACGAAATATCAAACATTTAAGGTAATTATCACCTCATCAAGAAGTATATATTGGGGTTTTTTGAGAACCATGCGAGCGATAGAGATTCTTTGCTTTTCTCCACCACTCAGTTTTAACCCACGTTCACCAACTATTGTGTTGTAGCCTAAACAAAATTATCCAAATTTTTGAAAGAAACCTGTTTAAAAAGCCTTCAAAGTTACTGATAAGACAATGGCTGTAGAAAATCAAAATTTCTTCAAAAACCATCGGGAAATGACAAAATTTTGTCATGAATTTCAGCGGCACGTGCTGCGTCAACCACCTCTAAATCACTTGCATGGAGATCACCATATCGAATATTAAATCTACAATCAAAAAAATATCATCCTCATAATGAAATGATATAAAATTAACACAAATATTTCAGATGAATTCAGAATGCTTTATTCGCTCTTTTTACCATTAAAGTTCCCAAAAATGAAATACTTATTTACTTTATATTTTCGTTAAAAAGAACAGTGTCCTGAGGTACGATTCCAATATGTTTGCGGAGGGAATTCAATTTTATATCACGAATATCCTGACCACCAAAAAGAATTTGTCCATCGGTAACATCAAATAAACGAAACAACAGGCGAATTATAGTACTTTTTCCTCCACCCGATGGACCAACCTAAATATGGAAATGATTATTAGCGGTTAACCAGAAAATAAAAAAATGAATAAATAAAGGATCAATCTGACTTTCTAATTTAATCGTTAATGATTTTAATAATTTAATCGAAATATTCTTAGAATGCGTTCTCATCAAAACTAAAAGATATATATATGTATTTTTTTTCTAACAGCTCTTACCATTACTATTGAGGATGGCTTCGCTGGCTACAAGGGTAAAACGTCTTCAAGCTGCTCGGTCCAACGCTAATAATAATAGAAGCCATTCTTTTTTCCATCATCTAAGTCCATATATCCTATTGTCCCCCTATATGTTTAAATCTTTCTAAATGTATTATTAGTCCAGGTTTTGATTGACCCTCCTCGCTTTTGACGTTAACCATCACAACGTTCGGCAGATATATATTTTATGATTTGTGTAAATATTCATATCTTTATTTCCCGAATAATAAAATCTTTTTAAATTCATTGTGGTCGGTAACCATGGTTGAACAACATAACGGACCAGAGCAATTGTTTGACCACGATTTACAGCGAAGGACACATCACGTAGAACCACTTTTTCAGGCGAATATTCAAAATATACATTTTTGAATATAATCGACCCATTACCCGGCTCAAGCGGAAGAGCATTTTCTTTATCAACAATCTGAATAAATGAAGAAAGAGATCATGAATTAAATCGACCAAGCGAATTTTAAATTAAATTATTTCAATTTAATCTTGAGCCGTCGCTTTTCTGTTCCGCTTTGCTATTTTCTTAGGCTATTTCTGGTACTTAAAATAATTAAGTCTTTTTAAAATTTTAAAAATTTTAAAACAAAGAAAATACATATTAAATAAATTATGCTAAATTTTTTCTCCTTTTTTCTCTTATCCCCTTGTCGATGGTTATGATAATCAGCAACTTCGAGTCCTCTGCCACAGGCCTGGGAGATTGAAGGTACTGCGCAGTACCTTAGCTTTCCTGATAGTGCGCTCTTTTCTAATGTGCTGAAGCCATTTCTAATTTTTCTTTTTAATTTTTCTAATTTCTAATTTAGGAGGCTTCAAGTACTCCGATTACTGCTGGGATTACTTTGGCCTTTACTTTCCATATTTGTATAAATTATATATATATATATATGTGGGCGGCTGCTGGAAGCCCACCCGTAACTGAGTCTACAGATGATTCTAGGATGAAATCGTCTGGTCTTTTTGAGATTGTGTCCGCTTCCCGACATGCATGATACTTCCCAGTTTGATGGTAGATAAATATGTAATCCATGCGTAGAAAAACGATCTCAAGGCTTGATAACATAATATGCAATGATATTTACTAAAACCAGTCAAGGGAAACGAGAAATTGTCTGCCGACACCCTGCATGCGCAGCAAGGTGAAATATAGCTGCAAAGAACGACGGAATACTTATGGACATTGCAAGTTAAGCGACCATTGTCCACATTTCTTTTAAATACCGTCGCATCTTTGTCAGAGATCTGCCTCTTTCACTTTTCAGTTATTAAACCTGTCTCCGCACAGACGTATTTATTATGGCGTTTCAGATAATTCGGGGCGAAATGGTATAGCAATCGTTATATCTCAAAAGGTCCACCTCAATGAGTGGCAATCGGTAAATGACCGTGTGGCCTACATTGACTTCTGCAGTGTTTCGGTAAATATTCTCCAACTTTATGTGCTTATGTGACAAAGTGCAGAATTTTAACTTCTAACATCTCCACCGAAAAGTGATATGGTCATAATCGGAGGAGACTTGCTGCATGCTTGGTCAAAATATTGCCACAATGAACTAGGTAAATGGCGAATGTGGCATCGAAACTTCTGTAGTAGATAATCGCTCCTATAGCGGCATTGAAATGGGAACCTTTATGGATCTAACCATTTTGTGATTCGAGCAAAGATCTGCATAAAATTGACAGATCTGCATAAAACAATGCCTCCCAAGATCTCTCTATCTCAAGGATTCGGGGACAATGACCGCAAAGAGGATTATTGAAACAATTCAGTGAAATGAATATCAGTGCCATCTCTGGAACGGTGAATGAATATTGGTCCCAACTAAAAGCACATCGCCGAAAATCAGCCTCTTCCACGCTAGAGTATGCTAGTAGGAAGCGCGCTAGTTGGATATCAGAAAAACTGTCCAACGATGCCAAAGCACAAATATTAGAAGATTCTATCTATTCTTCAAAGAATTACGACGATATAGCGAGACAAAAATGGTTATTGGAGCTGATAACCTTGAGAACTGAAACGGCGGTTCGATTAGGCGATAAGAAACTATTCCGCCTATTCCATAAAACAACTATAACCGAGTAATGGGGTAATAATCTGCCTATCAAGGCTATTAAGGATCAATAGTTAATACGTTTGTCGAACCCAAGAAAAGTGATAGGACATAAATGCGACAATTATTAAAGAATCAGCCTGCTAGAAGTCTCAGCGAAAATTTTTGATTCCCTTCTACTTAACAGACTTATGGTAGCAGTACGGGACAGTAGTACGGGATATGTACAAGATGGATTCAGAACGCGTTTATGTTGGACAGATATTTACATTAAGAGTGTTGGAAAATTGCTTCCGATATCCAACCCACCTTTTATTAACATTGTAACTGCTTTCAGTTCAGATGAGAATGGCACTTTGGAGTGTGATGGAACGTGATGGTGTTCCAGAGAATCATTCATCCCATAAGAGCATTTTACCAGCGAACATTGGCACAGGTTGTGGAAATGACAAATTCTTGAGAAATAAGAATTGGTGCAAGGCTACGCTCTTTCTTCTACGATGTTCAACTATACGATAAATTGGATAGAAGACATAGCTTGTCGATATACAGAAATATACAAATCAGTCCATGATACAGTATCACAGATCTTGGTTAATGGTACAGTCCTTTTTTACTAATAAACAAATTTTAAACAATGTTAAACAATATATCTCGACAAGAAGCGGATCAATATAAGTAAAATGGAACTCTTTTCGTCTTATGTACCAGAACCTGCTAAAATATCTACTTTTATCAATTCACCGTTGGTTGAGCAAGTGGCAGACTTTTATGTCGGTTCCACTCTAATCTCAAACGACCAAAGGGAAAGATGAAATTAAAACCAGAATAACGGTAGTTAGAAAGATTTTCTTCCCATTAACGAAATCTTTATGGAATCATTGCGAAATCATTATAAGTCCAAGACAAAAGTCCAAGACCACATGGCTGTAATTCGCTAATTCGCTCCATTTTGCTATATGGCTGCAGAAAGTGGAGGATATTAAGAAATTACCTTCTTTTGACCACTCATATATTTTATAATAAATTTTATTCTAAGATACATTTTACGATTTTGAAAAATTTCGCACAACTGCATCCACCATCGCTCAAATACCATCTGTATTAGAGCTTCGTCTTCGCTGGTTAAGGTATGTTCTTTGTCCCTCACCGCAGAAGTCGATATATATTTCGTTACTTGCTAAAGATAGCAAAGATGATCAATCAAGACTTGGACTAATACAATCAGGAAAGATTTTAGGAAAGTACAGGTGGACCAGCGATATATGGACTTAAACGATGTGAAAAGGAATGGCTTCTATTACTGCTGACGATGGCGATAGACCGAAAAATTTGAAGAAGTCTTGTGACCAGCTGAACCAGCACAATCAGTTAGAAAAAGAAATAAACAAACTGCATGAAAGAAAATTTAATTAATTAAAAACATCACGAAGAGCTTCAAGATAAGAATAGATTTTAAAAAGTGCCATAACAAGTTATTTTAAAAATTCCGAGGCCACCAAAAATTAAGAATGATTTGGAAAATTAAGAATGACTGAAGCACCAAGTTTCGTTGTGCGACAATGTCGTCGGACGGTGAAGGCAAAACGAGATCTCACTGAGTTTTTCCTCAATATGGAATACCTATGCTGAGGTAGAAGTAGTACTTTATTTTTCAAAAATGCAGCGGATGCTGGCAATTCACCATAATTCTATAGCCAAATGTTCTTCTGGCAAAATCTGTCTGGCCCAACAAGCCAGTGGATGGAAAATAGCCAGCAGTGATGAGCTCTTGAAGAAATAAAGATACTCGCTCAGATAATCGTTTGAGAATTGAAAGGTTAATTCTTGCCTCCAAAAAAAGTTGATCTGTCATTAAAAAATTAGGTGATGGTGGCGAGCTACTTGCATTTCCATCGCTAAATGACTCTAAGCAAAAATTCATCACATGATAATAACGAGTACTAATAGCCTAACCAAAAATGGTGAGCGTTAACCAATTACTTTTTAGTCCAGCACGAGGAGTCATTTGGTTAATAAATTTTGATTAAAAAAATATTGTATTATACCTCCACATCCTCAGAAAGCAAATCAAGCATATTTTCCATGTCAATAAATGCCTGTTGAATCACTCTAGAAATTTATTTGATGATATGAATATTTGATACAAATGTAAATATTTTTATATTTAATATTTGATATATTTTTAAGTGATTAATATATATAATCACAAATAATCTCAAATAATCTCTGTCATTCAGAAACCAATACAAAACTCCTGGAGAAGATGGTATATTCAGACCTTCGGAACTCTTCAAATGTTGTCCATCGTCTTTTCATATCACATCTTCAACAAATGTACTTTCTCGTTTAGAGGAATGAAATAATACCAAATAACGAAATAATACCAGATGCTTCGAAGATTTGCAACGAAAGCAATAAGGCGGGACAGAAATATCTATTGGAATAACATGGCCTCATGAATGGAGGCTGCGGCTCAATTAGGCGACAATAGGAAACTATTCTGCCTTCTCCATAAAGCAATTATAACTCGGGGAATGATCAGTGGAATTGTAAGGAACAGCAATGGTGTACCAGTCAAAAGTATTAAGGACCGTCTCACAAGATGGAAAGAATTCTTTGAGGCCAAACTTAACCATGAAGCGTCATCTGTTGCCCCTGATATAGCTGATACATTTGCCGAAGCATACGTTTGCAATTGCGAGCCTCCAACAGAAGAAGAAATAATTTCAGTTATCCATAAGTTTGAGGCCAACAAAACTCCAGGAGAATATGGTCTTCGGGCTGAGCCAATTCTCAATAAAGGTGATAGGACATACTGCGACAATTATCGAGGAATCAGCCTATTAGATGTCTCAGCAAAAATTTTTGCTTCCCTGCTACTCAACAGACTTATAGAAGTACGAGACAGCAGGATGCGCCCTAATCAAGCTGGTTTCAGACCAGGGCGTGGTTGTGCTGATCAGATATTCACGTTAAGAACATCGTTTCAAATATTTATCACGTGTTTCATCGACTTTGCGGCTGCCTTTGATTCAATTGATAGAGCGGCGCTTTGGAGGATGATGGAATGTGACGGTGTTCCAGAGAAAATCATTAGACTCATAAAGGCATTTTATGAGTGCACGTCGGCGCAGTCTGTGTATATGAGGACTGACAGATTCCTTCGAAATAAGAACAGGTGTCCGTCAAGGCTGCGTCCTTTCCCCCACAATATTCAACTATGCGATAGACTAGATAATGGACACTGCTTGTCAGGAGGTGTCCGAATTAGTCCAGAGCATAAGATCTTGAATACGTTGATGATGTAGTCCTTTTTGCTGACAGTTATAACGAAATGCAAGTAATACTAAATAACGTGTCAGAAACTGCAGCAAAAATTGGACTCAGGATCAATGTAAATAAAACGAAAGTCTTTTCGTCTTATGTGCAAGAAGCTGATTAAAAGCCTCTTTTTGTAAATTCATTGCCTGTTGAGGAAGTGCCTGATTTCAAATACCTTGGGTCCACTCTAATACCAAATGGACAGGCAAAAGATGATATTATAACTCGGATTACGGCAGTTAGAAATGCGTTCTTCCGGTTGACGAAACCTTTATGGAATCGTCGTGAAATCACCATAAAAACGAAAGTCCGCATCTATATTGCCGTGATCCGTTCGATCTTATATGGTTCTGAGACATGGCCAATGAGAGTAGAGGATATTAAGAATTATCTGCCTTTGACCACACTTGTCTAAGGTATATTACGGATCCGTCGAGCGGATAAAATATCACAAGATCACATCCATCTTCGTTCAAATACCATTTGCATAAATAATGTTATCACAGAGCGCCGCCTTCGCTGGTTAGGGCACATTCTCCGTCGTCCACCTCAGAACTTGACGTATATTTCGTTATTTGCTAAATCGTGTGATGGATGGCGTCAAAGGCGAGGTGGGCTAATCAAGACCTAGACTGATACGGTGAGAAAAGATTTTGAACATATAGGTGGACCAGCAATATATGGACTTAGACGATGAAAAAGGAATGGTTTCCATTAATGTCGACAATGGCATAAGATCGCGCCGCCTGGAAGCGTCTTACCCTTGTAGCCGTTGGAGCCAGCCTAACCAGCAATGGTGAGAGCTGTTAGAAGAAGAAGAAGAAGAAGTGATTAATGCTCAAAAAAAAATCTGAAAAAATTCTGTTCTTTCTGTTCTGGGGGTACCAATTTAATAATATATCGAATGAAAGGAATCAAAATAAAAGAAAAATATAAAAAATTATTACTTGATAAAGAAAACTTAATAGAATTTATTATTATTTATTTATTTATTTAAAAAATTGTTATTTAGCCAGAACAAATTAAAACTAACCTGTAAATAGTGCCAAAAAAATTGAGCGGAACATATAATTGCAGCATGTATGTTGTAAATAGTACGTAATCACCTGCAGTTAGCGTACTTCCATCATTTAAAATAAAATATGCAATAAGAATTGAGCCAATAATCAAACCAATGCCGATTACCGAGTTTTGACAAAAATTTAATAATGAAAGTGATGCACTTGTTTTCCATTCAATGTTTTGGAAGCTGAAAAGCTGTCAAAAAATTTAATAAAATCTGTCACCATGTAACTCAACATTTTCTTTAATCTCATTGTTTTTCAAAGAGAAATATATACCAAGATAAAGAATTCCATTCTATTAATTCCTTTATAAAATTATGAGCCTCGGCATTATGCTTAAATTCCTCTTAAATATACAACAGTTTTATGCTTAAAAAAAGATAAATATTCAAAAAAAATACTTTTTAATAGAATGCGAGAATCTATCGCATTCTGCCTGTTCAGCATTGCAATATTTTACAGTTTCATAGTTAAGTAAAGAATCAACACCAACTGCATGAGAGAAATTTTCTTTTTCATTCATATCACGACGGAATTTTGTTCGCCATTCCGATATAAATATCGTGATCACTGCAATGAGAAACCATGTAACTCAACATTTTCTTTAATCTCATTGTGGTTTTTCAAAGAGAAATATATACCAAGATAAAGGATCATAGTAACAAATATTAATAAACCGAAATAAACACTAAAGGTTGTGAAAAAGAAAATAATTGCAATAAGAATGTCAGCAAACGTCGGTAGTACACTGAATAATGTATAGCTGAAATCATTTTTTAACTTTTAATACTAACAAATAATGAAAAAAAACCATTATATCAGTTAAAATGCTTTTTGATGGAAGATAAACTTACATGTTTAAGTGACATTTCCTAGAAAATGAACAAGGATATAAACAAAATGGAATACTTTAGAATACTATCGATAGATGATGTGCCTCGGTCCATAATTCGTATTACTTGACCAGTTTTCCTCGATAAGTGCCAACGCAAAGAAAGACTGTGCAAATGTTCAAAAAGTTCCACCTAAAAACAACAAATAACAAATATTTTTAAAATATTTTAAATGCAAAACCATGATAATTCAACTCTTAATGTTGAACAATAAAAAGAAAGCAATTAACTTAAGCATAGATTGCAAATAAACCTGGATTTCATACGTAGTATATTGCTGAATGGGAATCCATAAAAGAGACCGCAAACTAAGGATAAAGCCACCCATCGCTAAATTTTTTCATTGAAAAAAATCAAAGTTCAGGAATATTCTTCAACTTCTTTAATTTGCAATTAAAATCTTCGATTTTTTGAATCGAAATAAAATAAGAAAATGAATGTACCTCCACTCCCTTGAAGAAACTTTAAAAAAAATGATATAATAATCAACTTATAAATCGATGGATCGGGATGAGTAAGACCATTTACTGGAAACATTTGAAATAATCGTGAATTTTCACATTTGCAAAAATGCAGATAAAAATGAATTTTTACAAAAATAAATATTAAAAAAAAACTTGCAATTTAAATGCCCTTCTAAAAAAGTACAACGATTTATAAAAATAAATTTATAAATAAATGAATAAAAATACCAATCCATTTATTATACAAAGGTAGAGAAACATTAATAAAGCGTCCTATAACAAGCAGAAATAAACAGAGAATAACTCGAATTTGAAGGTATATATTTTTTTTCGGCCATATATATGGTGTCACCATAGAAATTTTTTTCGACAATTTTGACCATGTCTGAAAAAAAAAGAATTGAAAGAATTCCTGAAAATTTGTCAAAATAATTGGCTATTGACCTCCATAATCTTCTCAAATAAGATAATTTGAACTAACTGATTGAGAATGTATTTGAATACGCAGGGTCTGTTTAATGATGGTACTAAAATAAATGAACAATATCGAAAAAGCCTCAAGACAATAAAAAACAATTTTCGTCTGCGAAAATTCCAAATAGGATCTGCAAATGTAGAATATAAAAATTTCAAATGCTTTAAGCCTTCATGATTTTTAGCTATTTTATCTTTAAGTGCAATATAAACAGTAAATTTATTTAAATCATTTTGCAAGAGGTAAAGCCGGCAAAATACAAAATTTTATTCTAAGTAATTTACACTCTAATTAATTTACAGTCTTATAGGCAAACGACGAAGTTAGCAAATTCTTCGTTTTTTTCCTTTTCATCCTTTCTTCACCTTTTTTTCCCTTTTCATCAACATTAATCTACAGTCGAAGTTATCTATTTACTGCTTGATGATCTTACATCTATTCCCTCAAGGCTTTTATATTCTTCTGGATCATTCGTCGACATTAATGCATCTTTTTTTTCGCACTTTTTTCCGTATTTCACTTGCCCTTTTTGCCTTCTTTATGGGTATCATCTTCAATATTTAAATATCCTTTTTGATTTACTATTTTGGCACGTTAAACTACGACGCATCACTCTGAGGTATGAAGTTATGAAAATTACCTTGTCATCCTCATCACTATTCCTTTATTAATCGATAATCAGTTTGCTGATAAGGCATGCTGGTTCGCATCTATTTACCATTTTTATAATCCCATAGTAGCCTCTTCTTTACTTTCATCGTTTCGCAACAGTCCTAACTGACGAAATTAGGCCACTGAAATACCGACGCACCACACCAGGCTAAGCCCAAAAATAAGGATGCGTCGGTATTTCAAGCGCAATATTGTTCGATAGCAGATACTACCAACCTATGGATTCAAACCCGGCCGGCGCATCATGCTTTCGTCAATTTGGAGTGTTGCAAAAGGCAAAGACAAAATGCTACTTGCAGACGTAATGGAAAACGGACGCGAACCAGCATTTGCCTCGTCAACAACTTAATTACCAATCTAATCAATGAAGAGAAGGTTGGCAACAATGCAGTTTTTATGAGTTCAGAGTGGTAGCTTCGTGGCATGCGAAAATAGTGGAAAAGAAAAGAATCAGATATTCCACTAAAAAACAAGTGACGAAAGAATATCCATAAATAACGCAAAAAGAAAAGAAAGTAAAAAAGGCCAATGGATTATAGTGCGGAGAGAAAGTTGAAAAAGGTAATCGAGTGACGACGGGACGGACGCCTTAATGGATATTAAAACCCCGCGGGCAGAGGCCGAAAAAGAGTGGGAGCAGCCTTTTCGCATGGAACTTTCCCCGTTTCGCCACATATCATCCAATATTATTTTAAACTTTAACTAAACTCGAAAATTTTTTCTGAGACATCTAATAGGCTGATTGGGTGTAGAATGGCTCAGTGGGCTGTTGCTCAATTGGGAGCGCCGACGCCGAGGTTCCATTGCCCGAAGGAGTTAACCTGTGCAAAAATTCGGGCGATGCTGGCCACTCACCTGTATTTCTATCGCCAAAGGATATCTCCCCGGCATACTGCCCAATGCGACAAGCCAGTGGAGCGAGTTTAATCAATAATGATGAGGATTCTTAAAAAAAAAACCTCGCATGGAACAACTGACGAAAACAAAACAGCGGAATAACGACAGAAATAAAAATTGCGACAAAATCATTGAAAATAATAATTAACGGCGTCTCGCGGAAATTTCTCGCGATAATTCGCAAAACGAGCGATAAACTCCAATAAGTTCCATGTACTGATGAAAATATTATCGAATTCGCACTTAGTTCTTCGTTTAAATTAGTAAAAATATAGATTGGTGGTAATAAAATAATAAATATATTAAGGAGAATACAAAGATGGTACAAAAAAGGCAAATACCCCGAGCGATACTCAACTGCCGGGCTAAAGCTGAATTTTAGTATATGAATAACACTTAATATACTTGCGAGAAGAAAGACCGTTGAACAGAAAACCATGTAAGTGCAAGCATTAAGTTCGCCGAAGTTCCATTCGCTGCAAAAGTCCATTTCAGGTCTGCAAAACAAGGAACCAAATTTTTTTCAATGAAAAACAAAGTTGTCGTAACGAATGAAAGTAAAAGATAAAGGCGAGGACGAGATTAAGCAAAGGAAGAGATGTTTTCGCCTTGAAACCTCAGAAAAAAAAACGCGGCCCAAACCTAGCAGTGCTTTGCACTAGTTCAGCTAAACTGAGGATTTTCGCACGTGGTGGAGGGAGATACTGGGACGATATAACGGAAGATTGGGATTCCAGGAGGCTTCAGTGAAAGAACCATCAGCCTAACGGACCGTAACGCGGCACGGCTGTGGTGAGGTTTAAGAGATGTTGCTTACTGCTTGCAACTTTGACAATCGACTATTTCGTTCGTTAAACATTCTGTTATATAAATACCACAATTAACATTGGTCAGTTCTCGCAGAAGCGTCACGTCTTTCTTGCTGCAATAAATACATAGTTGTGTAGCAAGACTGCCTAAAAGCCACTTACTTAGGTTCCACAGAGGCAACTGCCGAAAATGCCGAAAACATCCCTGAGAGACATAACTGCTCAGTATAATGCAGTGCTCAGAAATTTTGTGAAATATCGCTATAATTGCTTATAAAATTGCGAAACCAGAATTAAAATACCCACTTTCACCCTTCAATTTTCACCTTTAAAAAACCTTGGAAATCCTGAAATTAAAGTTTCGAAATTTTCCCATTTTTTCCCCATTTTTTTGAAAAGAAACATTTATGATATTAAATTAGATCGGGATTGTCACGACTGCTCCAATCTGACTGGAATAAAACAATTATGAAAAGTGAAATCCTAGAGATATTGGAAACTCATTTCCATTTCTAAACCCAAATGACTTTATCGTGAAAAAGCTTAATAACCTATGAACCGAGTCAATCTGTTAAGAGAAAAAATAATACAAAAACAATAATACCTATGAGCGAAGAAAACCAAACTACTATAGCGAAAACTCCAGCAACAATCAGTTTTTAAATACAAAAAACGCAAAAATGAATAAATCAACCTTTTCAATAACAACGCTCTTTATAGATTTTCATTCCAATTCATAAATGTGAGTTTTTCAAATGAATGAAAAAGAAAAATACTGGAAACATAAAATTAATACAAAATGAATTATCAAAATTTAAATGCAAATAACAATTAACAATTTATAACCAAATATTTCAAAATAAATAAAATAGTAAATTGAAAAATTTTGAAGAAATTTCAACCCGAATGACGTATAAATAGTTTAAAATTAGTCGCTTAGATTTAGATAAATCGCTTATCATGAAAATGATGGTAAATGATGGTTATTTCTTTGACTTACAACATAATTTCAACAATTTAACTGAATTATTGAATCTTCTTGAATTATGATTCTTTTTCAAATCCATTAGTAAAGGCTCAATAACTGATGATATCTTCAGATCAAAGTCCGGACATTCATCTTCGGCTTGTATGTGGCTGATCGTCTAGAAAATAAAAATGTAATAAAAAAAAGTACTTTTTCAAAAATATATTGCTGAGATAAACCAGAAAGAAAAACAATTTTCTGCATCCTTTTTTTTTCATTCGTGCAACAGAATTAAGGAAATGAACTATTTTAATCGTCTCGTTATTAAATACTAGAAAACCACTTATATTTATAAGTGCAGCACTGGAAAAAAGGTCTCACCCTAGTAATTAAAAATGGCGAATGATAAAAAATGAAACTGCGAAATAAAACACTTATTCAGTTACTGATCAACTATATAAAATATAAATGAAATAAACCTTTGCTAGCTGTACATTTATCGATGCAATTCTATCAATAGGTGGCAATTTTTGATCCATTAAAAAGGACAACAAAGGAGAAACAACTTTTGCTACTCGAATAGTACCTTCTTTAGACTCTAATGGTGGCATTACTTCTTGTATATGAGATGCAAGAACTGGGAAAAAAAATCGAGGTATTCCTGGTGTTAAGTTAATCGGCGTACACTGACCACATTCAAAACTTAATATTGCTTCATGCAGTGGTTTTGAATGTATTCTATCTGCAATACTAAATACAGCCATAAAGGCATCCAGCGAATCAGCCAATAACTGCAACATTTTCAATCTAGGATGAATAAAAAAATAAAAGACAGACAGATAGAATGCCAGCACTCTATCAAAAAATTGCCTCTAAAACATATAAATTTCATAAATAACCCAAATAATGAAGAATTTTTGGTGCAAAATGGAAACAATTAAAAAACGCGAAATCTCTATTTGATTTGGCAAATCAAACCTGTTTATCGGGTATTCTTCGTTGACCACTAATAATCGTCAGATAAGTGTCAAATAGGTCTGAACTATTTTTACATAATTCAGGAAAAAACAGCATTACAATTTTAGCAACAGAAAGTGCGAATTGTTTGATTCGCATATTGGTATGGGCTAAACCTCGCAGAATTTGTGCCATTAGTAAAGAGAAATGAGGTGCCAAATCAGTTGATTCGACTGAAGAAAAAACTGTATGAAGTAAAGCCATCAATTGTCGATCCAGTGAATTGTTTCTTTTCTTAAAATATGAAAAAATATCAAAAATTAAAATTAAAAATTTTGAAAAATTTGTAATTCAGTTTGCCAAACAAAAAAAGCTCACACATGCAATTTTTTAATTAAACTATATGTATTATGACTACAATTAAAAAGAATTGAATGGTGTAATTTAAGCACCAATCATGCATAACCTTTTCTTTAAAATGAGTAAAAAACAATAAGAAACGAGTTTACCACTTTGGGACTCCCGATATTAAACAATTTAATTTTCAACTATGTTTCGATGCATGCACACCACTTTTAAATGGACTTCTTCTTCTTCTTCTAACAGTTCTCACCATTCCTGGTTAGGCTAGCTCGCTGGCTAGAATGGTAAGATGTCTCCATGTCTCAGTCCAACGCCATCGCTAGTAGAAATGAAAGCCATTCCTTTTTTCATCGTCTAAATCCATATCACGGGTCCCCATATACGGATTCAAAATCTTTCCTGACTGTATCAACCCAGGTCTTGATTGGCCCTCCTTACTTTTGGTGTAAGCCATCACAGGGATAAGTGGCGAAATGTACGTCAATTCCTGTGGTGGACGACGGAGAATGTGCCTTAACCAGTAATAACATTATTGATACAGGCGGCATTTGAGCGAAGATGGATATAATCATGTGCAACATTTTCTGCATCGTAAAATGTATCTTAGACATGAGTGGTCAAAGGCTCATAGCTTCTACTCTCATTGGCAATGTTTCGTAGCCATATAGTAAAATCGAGCGAATTGCATTTTCATCTTCATGATGATTTCTTGACGGTTCCATGGAGGTTTCATCAACTGGAAAGACAGAAAAAATTTGAAAAAACTTTTAACTGTGGTTATCCGGATTATAATTTCATCCTTTGCCTGGCCATTTAGAATTAGAGTGGATCCAATATATTCAAAGTCAAGCATTTCCTCAAATGGTAATGAATGGTAATGAAAAAATAGATATTTTACCAGCATTATCTTGTATAATCTTGTATATAAGAGCAAAAAAACCCTTTCGTTTTATTTACAATGATTTTTAGTCCAATTCCCGCTGCGATTGTTCACATATTGTTTAACATTGTTTACTATAATTGCCAGCAAAAAGGACTACATCATCAGCGTATTCAAGGTCTGTGATGTTATGCTCTGGACTGATTCGCACCTCTTGAGTTGCCCCGACAAGCGATGCTCATTATCCAGTCTATTGAATATTGTAGAGGAAAGGAGATAGCCCTGACAGGCACCAGTTCTTGTTTCGAAGGACTATGTCAATTCTGTCAGTTCCCCATATATACAGACCTGTGTCTACCAATTTCAGCGCCCTGATAAAAACGACTATCAAGTACAGAACTCTTCCAGCGGTGATTGACTAATATATAGTCAATCTGATTGGAATATTGATTGTCCGGAGAGTTCCACGTGACTAGATGTTTTTTTCTACGATGCATATATTAGTAAAAAAGAATTCCTGCTCTTCAGAAAAACGAACGCGTTCTCCATTAGCGCACTGGACCCCGATGCCATACTTGCCAATTACCGAATTCATTATAGCTGCAATCTCCCCCGAGTATAACCATGTCTCGATAGGGATGTTGTTAACAGTTGAAGCTCCGCATAGAACTTATCCTTATCGCGGTCATCTGCGCATAAAGTTGGAGCATATAAATGACTGAAATTGCAGAACTTTCCCTTGAAACGCATAGGCCATACGGTTTACTGGCTTCCATCCAATCAGAGCGGATCGAGCCTTTTCAGACATGAAAATCGTTAGGCCATTTCGCCTCAAGTTATCCGAGACACCACAGTGATATAGCCAATATCTCTCGTCAGAACTAGGCTTAATAATTATTCGAGAGCCGACATGAGGAAAACGGATTTCCGACAAACAAGCCACATTCATGAGGTATTTAGCCACATCCATGAGGTGTGGACAATGATCGCTTGGCTTGCAATAACTGACAAAAAAAATTTTTAGAAAAAAAACTTATCCGATTTGCAGAACATTACGTAATAGCAATGGTATATTACGTAATAATAGTATAACAAATTATAAATTATAAGATAACAATATAATAATATAGCCAAGTGATAAAAATACCTTCTGTTAATTTTATTGATTATGAGCAGAGTACCTTTTCCAGCACAAATCGCTCATAGAGCATGGTCACAACAATCAACTTGTGATTTTTCATTATTTCATTATAATTTTATAATATAATTATAATTTTCATTATTATTTCATTTGTGAACTTCCCATCATTAAGAAATGATAACATTAAGAATTGCATGAACTTTATCGACTTCCGGATTTTCCAGTTAAAATAAAGAAAAAATGATTACCTCACTGCTTATTAGACGACTGATCGTTGGAATTAATACGTTCAAATGATACGGAATCAAATTATTATTATTATTGAGAAGTTGTCGGAGACCAATAATAGCACCTGTCCTCATATTGATATTATAATGTCCAAATTGACGACAAAGGTCGTCCAAAGTTAGACCCCTGTACGATAAACCGAAAGATGATTTCTCCGATCCATAGTTTAACGATGAAGTAATTGTATCAAGATTTTCAAGCTGCTTCGTGAGAACTATCTAAGAAATTACTATTGAGCTAACGCAAAATTTGAAATGAAATATTTTACTAATAAAAAATTCATGGTAAAACTATGATGAAAAAGATTTTTTTTCGTTTTTTAGTTCATAATATTTTATTCTACTTATAATATTTTATTCTACTTATGGGGGAAGTATAGCTGATTTGCAGCACCATGATGAGATGAAACGTTCTTCAAAATATTCTAATCATCTCAAGTTAAGATTCAGATTCAAAATATGCATATTTCAAGTGGAACCACTGAAGCACTAAAAAACTTTAAAAACAAGGGTTTAAGGCTTCTGACCTATTCTCAGATGAAACCTTACCTCCCTCTAAATCCGCCCTAAGAAACTACTCGGAAAAAGGTAAATCACGCTTCAGTCCGATCAAAGCGTATGCATGAAGAGATGCTGTTATCAGCAATTTCCAAAGATTAATTGAAAGAAAAACGATATGTTCTCGAAAATGGAGACAGCATATCAAGTAACAATGGAATACTACGGCAACCACACAACTCCAACTGCGAATCACCTCTGCAGAAGCACAAAATTTTTTTTTTCACAAGCATAAGGCTAATAAAACCACTGGAGAAGATAATCTGAGCTGAACTCTACCCATCGTTTTTCATGATATACCTCAAAATTTAATATTCACTGAAATGGAATAAGGAGCGAAAAGCAATTGGAACAAAACAATTTCGTTCCCAATTCCTAAGAAAGGTAGTAGAATGCATTGAGATAACTATCGAAGAATCAGCGACAGAAAGTTTTCTGCCTCTCTTCTAGTGGTAATGGCTGAAAGAAAAACGAGTCCTAACAAAGGCGAATTAAGACTATGTGATTATGTTGATCAGGTTTGGCCATACGAAATTCTTTTCATCTTATATATTAAACGATGTTAAGACCGCAATTTCTATAAATTCATTAACGGTTCAGGAAGTGCAGGATTTTACATATCTTGAATTTCTCATAACGAATGATTAGGCGAAAGATATATATTCTTTTCTAGATCTGACTGCAGCTAGAACTATTCTCTTTAGTGAAGCCTTCTTGGAATTACCTCAAAACGATAGTTCGATAGTTCATTTGTCCGATTACAGAAGGTAGAACTCTACTATACGACTGCGAAACATGACCAATATCAAGAAATCTATCTTTGACGACTATTCTTGCTTAAGATAGGTCCCATCAAACGACCAAAATCTTATTTCATGATTTCATCACTTTCATACCATCATACCATCTGCACTGAGAATATCATTAAGCGTCACTTGAGCTCATTAGACCATTTTCTTCCATCATAGGGAATGAAGTATCCATCTCGCTAATTGCTGAATCCTATAATGGAATTAAAAGCTAAGACAAGTGAAAACTTGGAATGACACACTCAGAAGAAATTTTCAACGCATAAGCAGCCAGTGCTATATATGGTGGAAAAAAGGTGGCTTTATAGCTACTTTCAGGAGTTACTATTAGAAAGCTTGGAAAGCTCGTCCTCCACTACCCTCCGAACCAGCGATGTTACCAGCCAGTAGAAGAAGAAAGATGTTAACCAGTGGAACTACCCTTCATCTGGTTATTAATTTTCTCATTGCTTGGCTCTCAAAATTGATTCTCAATTTTCAAAATTGATCAGAAATCGGATTTTTCGAAATTAAACGGGAAATCCAAAATTAAATACGTTCGCAAAATTCATAAAATCTAACCGCCTTGGATTTGATTTGCGTATCAGTTGCATTAGTTTTCTTCAATTTTTTTCCAACTTTTATTTTCACCTTTGAAAAATCTTTCGTCTTTTTTTTCATTTTCTCCGATCTAAAATGTAAATTAATTTTATATAATTAAATTTATAAATTTTATATATATAATTTTATATAATATTGATCATTTTAATCATCATAATCACTAGATAAACTAAAACCATCAATTTATAATTGGCAAAATCCTTGAAAGCCATATAACTCGCGTTATAAATAATAGCGAATGAAAACAATTAATGGTAAAAAAGAAGATATCAATATCAAAATTTTATTCATGAAAATGATGTTTTATCTGATGTTTCATAAAAAAAGAATGGAGAAAAGTAATAAATGAAAATGAAAATAAAACAATGAAAGCGCTCGGTTCTTAACTAAGAAATAACGAAAAATACTGCAGGAAACAAAGAAAAAAATTTGTACACCATAAAACCACAAAATAAAATCTTCAATCTAATTCTGATTCTTTCACTGTGTGAAAGCTTTTATATATTCCTAACTGAAGTAAAGAATATTACAACTGGAAAAATAATAACTAATGACTAATTAAAATTTGAACTGCTGAGTGCCACTTTGATTGATTTCACTAAATCACTATTTGGATCCCGCTTAACAATTTTGTCGAGCTTAGCCATATATGAATCAATATTCTTTATTGTCGGAGTTTCACCTGAAAAATAGATACCAAATAGCGAAATTCACCGAAAAAATTGCTAAAATATAAGAAAAAAAAGAAAAACATAGGAATGAAACAATATAAGAAAAATATAGGAATGAAACATAGCTGTTTCACAATTTACTTTAACAGAAAAACATTGTTTTTTTTTGCTTTCGCAGTAAAAACGAAATTTGAAAATCATTATGATAACAATATGAAAAACTTCAAAACAAATACTAGCAAAATAATTAAACTAATTAAATAATAAAAAATAATTGAAATAATTACCACTGATTTCAAATTCTTCAAGTGCACTGACCAATATTTTGGTCCATTTTGCCTTTGCTTCACCTATCGCAGACAAGCGATCATCAGTATCCACTTTTATTTTTTGAACCATTTCGATATTTGCTTCTAACCTAAAATTATAATTAATTCATCAAATCATTAAGTACAGCATTTAGTGAATCTAAAAATCTTATGAACAAATATATGCAATGCATTTCATTCTATAAAATTTTAATGTCGAACTAAAATTTTGCCCGAAGTAAAAACCATAAATGTAGGTTATAAAATAAATCAACGATGAAATAAACCTCTTTATGTTCTCTCGAATAAGCTCGCTTTCCTCTTCCAATGTACTAATTTGCACGCGTAGTTTCTTTAACTTAGATTCTTGACCTAAAATAACAAGATGCATTTAGAAATTTTGGTAAACTTCCTAGCTATTACTAGTATTTCCTTTAATTGATGCATATTTGTTTGTTTATTTGTTTGCAAGTAGCTTATGCTCTGTTTTTTTACGAATAATTTTCGTATGACGAAAATGATTTTTTTAGAAAAGCTATGTTTATATAAGATTTAATATTTTATGATTATGAAATTTGTGATTTATTTCAGGCAAAAATATAATAAATCGCATCAATTCTACCAACAAATAGAAAAATATATAAATTTTAAAAATAGTGGTTGGAATACTACTTTTATTGTAGTCCAAAAATGCATTACTAAAAATGGAAATATCACCATCTTTGATAGCACTCGTTACTGCATTTTCTTCCTAAATTGAACTAAAGAAATGCGGATATAAAATGAATCAAAGCATTTAAATAATTTGATAATTTGAGGAAAAAATCGTGAAAAAAACTTATCATTACGATAAAAAAAATCGCAAAACCTCATTGGCACATCTATTTTTTTTATTCTGACATTTGGATAATATTGACGCTCTTTTTTCTGCAAAATTTATAAATTTAAATTTAAAAATTATTTGAATCACAAAATTTAAATTCTTGGAAAATAATTGAACTAATCAAAAAACTTAAGAAACTTCAAAAAAACTTCAAAAAACAAAAATTTTTACTCGCTTGATTCATAAAAGACTTTCAAGCAAAGATTTCTTATCTCGGTCTGAATTATTTTTAATTTCGATCCGGTATTTACAGTCAAAAAAAGAAAAAAAGAAGAAGAATGCTGAAAATGTACATTCAAGTTTACTCCTAGCACGGTCACCAAAGGCATGAAGGTTTATTACATCTGCCAAATTTTAACAGATAAAAACTTATGTTGGGCAGCACCGATATAGGACAATACTAAACCTGTCTCCACTACAAAATGACCCCAATAGAATTTCCAACTGGCTATGGGATCGTCAAATCACCCTTTCGATTTAAAAGTGTAACATATCAATTCGAAAGGATCCGATTTTCCTAATCTCTTTATTAATAGTAACATAATTGGACGAGTCTCGAATATATATCAGATATTAACTTAATTGTGGATGAAAGCATCGATTTCGACCTTCACTGCATAACCATAGCAAATAAATCTAGAATCTAGTTTGTTAAATTTTATTTTTCGGTTGTTTATAAAAATCTAAGCTTTCTTATAATATATATTCGTTCGGCCTATTTTTGATTATAATACAATTTTTCCTTTAGATATCGCAAATTGCAAATAAATTAATTGAAGATCTCCAAAAATACATCGTACACTGCTTTTCTCCTAATACCAATCAGTTACAATACATAATTTCATCTATCAACCTAGAGTCACTCTTATTTGTCGAATTAAACAAAATTCAATTTATATATATAAAATTTTATATGGTTTTGTTAAATTAGATTATTTAAAATATATTCAAATATATTCAAAATAATTCTGGGTTAAATTTGAATCCAAAAGGTCTAAAGGGCTAAAATTATTAAAAATGCTGTACTAAATGCTGTACTAAATTAAGGACAATATTTTTTTATTCCCAATATTAATTACTGGAATAAGCTGCCGAATGACATAATTTGTGCACCACCTTTACTTGTAAAAAAAAAAGTTAAATAATATCAGCTTTAGTAATAATATAATAAGGTTTTAAGTAATATAATAATCACCCATGATAAGCTTCATGTTATGCAGGAAGTTTGAAATCTTGAGCACTTATCATTCGATTATTTGTCACTAATATATTTAATTTAAATTACTTGGTTTATATTTGTATTATATTTCTTTATCTTGTTAGGTTTTTAGTCATATTCCTTTTGGCACTTATATCGCAATTACTAATTCTTCTCATTTTATCTTGTTATTATTAATATAAGCATATGGGCTTATCGCCCTGCTTGGTTATTTAAATAAATAAATATTGCTGATATTATTGCTGATAGGTATTGGATAATTGAAAAAGATGATAAAAAACTGACAAAAATAAATATATTAATATAGCGCCAAAAGTCTGAAAGCCTTTGATTGCATGATCATCTCAGGTTATGGATCCTAGCTCTTGCCCTTCACAGAAACTTATATTTAGATTCAGCTGAAATGCGGACAGAATATGGTGAGAAATACTGGCTTCAAGCTATCAAGGGACTGCGACAAGGATGCTCACTTTCGCCCGGATTGACAAGATCTGTATCAGATGTTGAGGAACTAAAACTACAATCAAACAAAAAATTCCTCTTCTGCGTCACCCTCCAATTCGGGTCCCCTAACAGAAGCCTAGCAAATTAAAATAAGACATTTAAGTATTCAGAATAACTAATGCTATGCTGATAACACTAGCCGAAAATTCAAAAGATCTTCGAGTTCTAGATTCTAGAGTTTTAAAATTCAAAAAGCAGAGAAAAATTATAAAATATAATGAAAAATAAAATAACATAAAAATAATAAAAATGTAGAATAAATACCCTCATGTAGAATTGACAATCAAAA